TGGGCAAATCCACTGAGCTGGTTGGGTTTGGGTGATGTCTGGTGCACACAAATTGCTGCTTTTCCTAACAAAAGTGGTGTAATTCTTGTAGGAAAATGGGTGATGGAGGAAAAAAAAGAAAAATAACATTTGTCTATCAGTCCCTAAACTGGAGGATCTAACTTCAGGCAGGATCAAACATATCTGTATTAAATATTTTTCAGCTTGTAGAAGTTTAAAAATAACTAAGCCTACCTACAGAAAATCTCTGGTGCTTTTTGCTTTCCTACTTTAAATCCAATAGTGATAGGGAGAAAGCTGCCTTCAAAAATTATTATTGTTTTTTAAAATCAAATTGAGCCCAAGAAATAGAAGACCTAGTAAAAGACATGTTAGGCTACCTAAACCTTTTGATACAAGTTCTTAGCAATGGTTCTTAAAAAATGTAGCTTACTCTAGATGTGTTTTCTGTAGTTTCTTTACAGAGGCTGTGTACCCAGTTGTTTCATAGTCCACATTTTATGGCACTGGGTGCCAGTAGGTTTTCTTATCATTCAGGAATCCCACCTGGCTTATGTGAGACAGACATGATGTGTGAGATCTGCAAAATGATGAACATCTGATTTGTTTTCCTAGTTTTTTCTGGTGAGCCCCTTCTAGCAGAATCATGGAGTCTGGGCTTTTATGCTCCTTTGGTACAGCTGGCTGCTTGTTTTCTAATTCCTAAACTTATATCTGATCTATAACTTCAGAAAATTATAACAGAACTTAAGAATTTATCCAGTTTTTGGTTTTTTGATGTAACAATGGATTCTAGACAAATCTGCTTTTAGTTCTCTCCAATACAAGAAGATGTTTGAACAGTATCAAAAAGACATTTCCTTGAAAAGTGAAAATGTATGTAAGACTTACTGTTTTGTTTTTTATCAAATAGGCAGCGCCATTAAATGTATTTCAGTCTTTAATGATCATAATGGGAACCTTATCCTGTGTAGGGGGATTATTTATTTGTTTATAATACTTACATCTTGTATAAAATTCAGTTGTACTGTGCCATTTTTGTGCATAAGTATTTTTAAAAATAGTTTTATTTAAAAGCAAACAGTGTTTTATACTCTTCATTTTAACATGACAAAAATCTGGGTTATATTTGTTACTCAGTAATCTCACTTGATGGTTCCACAGCAGCACTAGCCTCTTGACCATAGAGTAACTGAGCATATTTAGATTTAATTCCTAGCTCTTGACTGCACACAATTGTGTATGTGGGTGTATTAGGGACGCTCTGTGCCTGGATGAATTCATTTCAGTTGCATAAACTTTTGTGCTGTTTTTCACAAATAGTCATAGAAATGTTTCTTACAGCTAAATGTCATTTTTAGTGAGCTGCATCTGAAGCACAGAGGTGATAGTAATATCCTTATAACTTGTGTGTGTGCATCTGGTGGGGATAGATGTATTTTTATGGCCATCCTTTTGATAAGAAGTTATTAGACTTAAGCAGGTAAACTTTGTCCGTTAATATTTTAATTCCTGAGTTTCACCAAGCACAGAAATGAATACTTATGCTTCAGTGAAATTTTTTTGGAGGCAGCATTTGCAAACACCTTAGGTGATGTTGGAGCAGATGTTTTGTCTCCTTGTGTGTAAGTAAGCACAGATAGACAAACAAAATCAATTATTATTTATTAAGGTACAAACAACCTTAAAAATGGATCCAGCCTTTCCTGAAATGCCATAAATCACCCTGTTTCTAGAAAGAAACTCGGAGTGTTGCAGAAATGTACCTGAAGAGATTTTGTAGAGAAATACTATCAAATTCTGCACACATGCACTATTGGAATGTGTAAGTGAAATAGCAGGGGAAGATATTTCCCAGCAGTTTTTGTAAGATATTGCTCTGGGTCGCACTTCTGGCGTTTGAATGTTTGAGTTAATATCAAACCCTGCAGTTGTTATTGTGGTAAAGTGATAGTGTGAAATTGATGCTGTTATACTATAACAATAAGGACGTGACTCATGTATTTTATGTACACATGCATTCAACTGTAGTGACAAATGGCTTCATGCTGTGTGATTAAATGCATATTAGCATTTGCCCTAGGCATTTGATTATTACCATCTTTACTTCATTACATTACCACACTGTATGGCCATATAATTTATAAGATAATACAGACATCACTTTGTTGCTGATAGGAATTATTCTGTTTTATGGATGGTGTCCTTTAATTTTGCCTTTCATGGATTATAAAATTGGTTAATATCTGCTGAAGTGAATCACTGGAGAAGCAAATAAAGATGTTGGCCTCAGGTCACAGTGTCATTTGTGATACTGGCAAAATCTTACAGCCTCATTTATCCCTGTACATGATTGATAACACCATGGGTTAAATGGAGAAAGCTTTGCTTCCATTAAAGGATCATCATGAATGAAGACCTCCCACTTAAAAGTCAGGCATGATGAGAAGACAAGAGACTATCTACAGGTCAAATTAAATAACTTAAATAATTTAAGTGGAATGACAGTGTAATTTGTTCATTCTGTGTTATTACCCTGACCCCTATCAGGCTTGTAGGCTAACTTACTTTCTAGTGTAGGGTATTTAAGATGTAATTTTTAATAAGTGCTTTTCAAAGATATAAAGCCCTTTATAGCACTTAAAATTGTGTTAAAATGGATTTTTTAATGAAAGTAATTTTTGTCCTTATTTTGTTAAATGTAAAGCGAGTAATAGGAAAGCAAACATAATAAATGCTTCAAAATAGGAACTTCAGTCTTTCACTTTTAAAATGTTATCACATGTATGCTTTAGTTTTTTTAAAATTATTTTATAGGTATTCTGACAAATACCAATTGCTAAAGTAAAAACACATTATTTGGAAATACCTTTGATTACACAAGATATTTTTGTATTTTCTGTGATGAAGGGCATTTATTATTTATCCTGTATCTTCACAGTAGCTCTGGATTGTTGTATTAATGCGTGATATCAAATGTAGGTATTTTATTAATATGAAGGATAATTGAAATTATTTTTTTTTAACTTTATTACAATATTTAGTGTATTTTTTTTCCTAGCCAGGCACAGTGTAAACTCTGTGGCAGGTGCTGGGTTATTTGGGCTCTGGGAGGTGGAAGAGAAGGGCAGGGTGTGTGGTTGTGCGGAGGGCAGGAGGAGTCACACCGAGTAGCTGGGGCTGCAGCGCAGGCTGGGACGCGTTGTGTGGCACTCGTGGCGCAGCAGCCGCGCTGCAAATTGCCCGTGAGAAAACAGCGCTGTCAGCACCGGGAGCTGCGCCGACACCCCGGGAGCCGCGCTCACAACGCGGCCATTGCGCTCACCGCGGTGGGCAGGGAAAGGCTCGTTTGTCAAGCGCTCCTGCTGAGATCGCTGAGCTGAGAGAAAGCCCTGGATGCCTCAGGCCTCTCTGCTTCTGTTCCTTGGAGTCGAGCATTGGTTTGGAAATATCCCCTTTGGAAAATAATTCTCAGATTGCTTCTGTGATGGGAAGGAAAATCACAGCCCCAGTGTGTATCAGTTAATGTACACTCTCCTGCTGGTTGGCCTGAATAGGAATCACATCATAACCGAAGTGCACTTCTTCAAGTGCTCCTGTCCTTGCAGGATGAATCCTTTTTCTGAATCAAGTTTATGTTTTCCTTTATTAACACAGGCTGCCAGCTTCTTCATTTGATAATGGCACAGTCTTGTAGCAATTCATCACGGTAGGATCCACCAACTCCAAGCCTGAAACATCAGCTGACAGCAATAGAATTAGACCCTGTGTCATGTTTGTCAAAATCTTACCCTTAGCATGATGAACAGTGAAATCAAATGGCTCTGTGCCTAGTTTATTTTGCATAATTTTGTCATTTTTATTACATTTGTAGTTATGGCCATCTCCCAATACCTAATATCAAAGTAGTTTGTGGTGGTTCTTCATTCAGTGGTACAACACGTATCAGTAAGGAAACAATTTTGAAAACTGGAGTGAAAGAAACCAAATTTTTTAGTGTGCTTTTGGGAGAGTGAGACTTCATTTACTCCTAGTTCTTTGGCTAAAATATAAATAATGGTCTTTTATCCTAATGTATTACTTAAAAAAATCCAAACAGCTTCAGTCTACAATGTGTGCAGATTGCCTGCACAATGCCTGATTCATGTTGGCACATTGACACAACAGATTTGTTGCCTGAAGTGCTACGTGTTCGTACATGGTTTGTATTCAGGCTTTATTCGCTGCCTCTTCAGACGTCCTTCAAACATACACATTTTGACACTGACAAAATAATTTATATACTTCATATTGAACAGCTCAGTATTGGTAACACATTTTAAAATGAAAGACAAAAATGAGCCTGATTTTTTTGGTTTTAACAAAACTGTTATTTTACTAACAGAATAACTTTTGTGGTGGGGTAGCTAAGCAAGGAGTCAATCTATTATCCATGACCAAGCAGCTTAAATGTGATCTATGTTAGGGTTTTATTTAGACAACAGAAGAAAAAGTGGTGGGCCCTGATTTGTAGTTGTTATGGCCCCATGATACAGACCAGGTCTCTGCTCTTCCTGCAGGAATTCCTTCCTAAGGGTTCCGTGGCAGCAGCCGGGTCAGCCATAACTCCTGTGCTCTAGCCCTGCCTCCGTAATTCTCAGTGCAGAAACACACACGGGGTGTGTTCTAGTGCACTGAAAATTCAGTCTCAGGGTTCAAAAATATAATCCAGGAAAGACAGGTGAAATATGTACAATTGGTAAACTTTTGTGAATGAAATGCTGAGTGTTGTAGTCACCTCTGGTGTCTCTAACAAACCTGCTTTGTCCTCACAGGGACACCTGGGGCTCCTGTTTGTGTAACTGCTTGCTTGACAACAGTTGATGCAGAGTACAACATTTTGATACAGGATCTTGTAGGAAGAGAATCAGAAGGACTTCTTGTTAAAATTCAGATGCAGAAACTGCAAACATTACCTTAAATCCCTAATTTCAGACCAGACATCTCTTTTACAATTGAGCCTGCCTTGTGATCTTTGACATCTCGAAGGTAGGCAGCAACTTTTTCATGGCACGATGTGTTCACTGCAAAACCTTCGTGTCAGTGCAGGGCAGTGACTGGGAAAAAACCTCTACTACTTCTGTGTGCTCATCAAAGTTTTTGCCTAAAACTAAAAAGAAATACAAGAAATACAGAGAAATACAAGACATAGAGAGAAGAAGCAAAGGAATATTGTGAATTACTGATAAATTAGTTTGGATTTTTCCTACAGCATTGCACATTACTTTAAAATGAAAATATTGGTAATTACATAGTATCTATAAGTAGTAATTTTATTCTTTGCAAAAAGAATCTGCCTCCATATTTGCAGGTTTTGCAGTTTGAGGATTCTCTTACATATAAACTGGAGAGGAAATGCCTGTTTTTATTTTGCAGAAAGAATGGATGAAGACTTTAAAGCAGGGGCACTTGACTCTACTCTTCCAAGTCCATCAGAGACTTTGCTTTCCATTCGACTGTTAGACTTTAAAACAAGTTTATTGGAGGCCATAGAAGAACTGCGGATAAGAAGGGTAAATTCGTTTATCTTGAATTTGATCTTTCTTTGTCTTATTGCTGTCTCTCTGTAGGTAATCACAGCAAATGCTGCATAAGTGTGGCTAAACCTCATGCTGTATTTCAGTGATTCACCAGTCAGGGTTTTGTTTAAAAATAGAATGGGTTTAGGTATTGGATGTATTACACATTTCCCTGTAGACAGCACAAAGGCAATAGGGTTAAATGGGAATGAATTTGTTTTTTTTGTAATAACATAAGAACTTGCTGGAGTTGATAATCAGGCTGTTGAGAAGATAAACTACATTAAATTATTGTCTGTCATTATAGTTCTTCTCTTAAAGAGCTGCCTTTGATACAAAATGGAAAGAAAGGATCCAAGTATTTACTAAGTACCTAAGTCTTTCTCATTTCATAATTGATTTGCCATTTGCCAGAAAAGTGGTGATTTTGGCTGTTTACTTGTGCTTTTCAGAATTACCTATGAGTCAAAGAGCTATATTAAAAACACTTTATTTCACCATTTTTGCATTGCTAAACTATGAAGCTAGACCACTACAATAATAGTGTATTGGGTATTGGGAGTGGGGGGTTGTTTTGTTTTTGAAATGAGCTGAATCCTCTTGTAGTAGTACCAAGGTAGAATTGCTGCTGTGCTGGTAAAGGCAGCTGTTTTTTCTGGCAGTTAATTTTTTCACTTGTATTCTTCTGTGGTTACTTTTTCAGTTGTGTGTGTGTAAACATTTTTGTCTATTTCTCCCATTCGGGCTTCTAAACTGTTGTGTGCATTGAAAGACCAAAAATATATTTTTCTTCATCTCTGATGAATTTGACCTGTTCAAAAGATGTGTATTATTACTTTTAAAATATTAGTGTTGATGACATGCTTGATTTATGCTTGTTTTGATCTAAGTGAAATGCTCTAATCCTCTCTTTAAAAGCCATAAACAAAGGAATGACTGCCATTAAAAAGCAAAAAAAAAAGGAGAGAAAGGCTGCATGATGGTACTTTCTTGGAGCAATACTGTTAAAGCCTCCATGATGTGATCTCCAGACCTGTGATACAGTGGTAGTGTTTACTCTTGTCAAACTATTTTAGCATTAAAAGGAAAGACTGAATAATTTAAATTTTATTATAATAATCAGAGAATACTTTTCTTTATAAGACTGTTTAGCTGAATTTACATGGTTAACTTAATGTTGCACTTCTAATGCACTTGGTCAGAGCCTAAAGTGTTCATGGAGTGCCATGGAATTTCATCTTTTGGCATTTTTCTTTGGCTTTTTATGCCTGTTTTGTGTCTGCTATGCTACAAGAGTGATTGTGAATTTGTAAAAGTTGTCTCAGAAGGGTGGATAAGTTTTTGCCTTAAAGTTGTTTTTAGTTTCAAAATCGATGCAAATGGTAAGAGCCAATTTCACAGTTAAGACATGATCCTAAGTTCCTAAAACAGCTGTGCTTTCCTTTACCCTAAAAATATATATATACATATGTATGTATTTACCTGTTTAGTTGGAAATATAGGTAAAAAATGTAAGCATTGTACAGCCAGCTAATCTGAAATCTCAGAGTGTCCTTGAATGCATTTTTGATTGGTTTTGATTTACCATTCAGTTCAGGGCTGCTTGCTTAGTATGTTTGAAGTTTGGAATATAAAACATTAGTATTTTGAAGAAGCAAGAGTTATTGAATAATGTGACTTATGCCTAGTGGCATTCATTTTTATCTTTTTAAGTAGAATTTTGTGTGGATGTTTTTGCTTTAAAATACCCCTAAAAAACCCCTCTCCTGATTTTAGCTATGAATTTCTTACAAATTCAATAAATTTTTAATCAGCCCTGAGAGAAAGGTAGTGCATAGACCAAGTTACAAGGATAACTCAGAGAATTACAGTGCTTGTCTTGCACTGTGCTAATTTTTCCATGGCCAAGAATGAAACACACAAAATTAAAACTGTGTCATGTGCTCCATCAGAAAGTGGAGTAAAAGTGACAATTCTGCAGGTTTCTTACTGCTTTTCTCACTTCCTTTCCAGGCTGCTTGTGAGGTTCAGTAGGCTGATAAGCTGAGGGAGGCTCTAGAGCCAGTACCATGGATTTTACTCTCAGTTTGGGCTTTGACCTCTGGTTTGGCCTCAAATTAGAATATTTTACTTCTGTTTGCTTCTGTTTTTCTTCCTGTTCTTGGTGTCGCTTGTCACTTCAACAGGAGGCTCTTTGGCAGGACCCACTGTGTATTTTGGGTTTAATAAACTGCCTGGAATGATTGGTTAAGCTGCAATATAAATTCAGATCAATAAAAAGAAATTTGTGGGTGAAATTATCTGTATGAAGTCAATAAAAAGGAAAATCTTAAATATGAAAATATTTTGAGAGACTTGATGCAATCCTTGCTCAGTGTCATCATACTGTAGTTAAACTCATAAACAGTTGAGAAGAGTTGCTCAGAGTAAGGGACTGTTCATTTGTTTCATCTTCCAGAAGAAATCCCAGTCCTTGACAGCTGTGCAAGTTTGTTCTAAAGAATACATTCTTTAAATGATTATATTTGATAAAGCTTCACTTTATTCCTTTGGCTATTCACAGGGTCTTTGTTCTCCGTAGGAATTGATGTAATATGAATATGTAAGTAATTAAAATCCAGGAAAAATTATATTTCTCTTTCCCCTGCCCTACAGGGATTTCTTCTCACTGCAATAGTTAGAGTGTCTTCTATTTTTTCCAGTTTAGCTTTCCCACTCATCAAGCTCTGACCAAGCCAGTGATTCTTTTGTGCTGGATATCCCCTTCACTTCCACAGTATCAGTCTTGCTCTGCAGTCAACTGAGTGTCTTTTCTTCCTAACAGTCTTTTAACTGGATTTTATACCTATGTGTAAATTAGGGCTTTTTTTTAAAGTAAAATGATAGAAACAAGGACAGCTGAGTACTGGGAAAAGAAGTAAGTATGTGGATTTAGGAGAATAAACAGCACTGAAGTTTCAGATCTCATGACTGTGCCATCCTGTGATATTGTTGCTCGAGTCAGCAAGCAGTGTGTTAGATGATAATTTCTGTGTTAATGAATAATGTGGCTTTTGTGTGGATCAGGAACTGATTGCTTGCAGTTGGAGAGGAAAGTGTTGTAAGTATCAATGCAGACCTTTCTGGGAATATATTTTGTTAGATTTATTTAAATATAGAGTAATTGTAGTGGAGTCAAGGATAGACCAATGAAAAATTTACAAAGGAAAAATAGTTGTTGGTACAAATTTCTGTGTCTCTGCATCTGAAAAAGGAAAAGTTTTGAGAATAGATTCCAAATACAGGTTGCTATTATTTTTGTTAACTGTCATAACTATAAAAATCCAAGAATATTTTATCAGGAAGTAAAGTTAGAATAATGCTACTATAAATATCTTCTCTCCTTTTAACATTTGTCCTTTAAGTAAAATATCCATGAAGTCTATAAAATTGTGCTGGTCTGCTTAATTCCTGAAGGAATTTCTAATTATAGTATGAAAAAATCAGAAATTGTAGTTTCTGTGAGTACTATTTGACCTGCATGAAAATTGGATGTGTAATTTTGTAGGAGGGAGACTGTAAGTTCAAAAAAGATAATAAAAGTACCTAGCAGCAGTTTGGGCTGCTTGGACATGAGCCAGCTGTACTTTGTTCCTAAATCTGTTCAGGGTCAAGAATCGAGGGGGCTTGACCAATCCACAGCCCATCTTGTAAAACTACAGCCTGAAGCAAACACTTTAAAGAAGGCTTGACACTTTCTAAAGGTTATAACGAGTAAATAAACCATCAAATTACTCCTCTTTTATTGTTATTGTAGTCTTTTTTTATAAAAACACTTAAATCCATGTAGTCCTAAGGCATCTAATAAAAAGGAACATTTTTAAGGTTTTGTGGGTTTTTGATCCCTCACCAGAGTTATATATAATATTGTTCTCCTAAGTATAACAAAAAATGTTTTTGTCTTATAAACAGCTGATAGAACTTCTAAAAAAAGTTTTGAAAGCTTGCAATTCAAAATGGTTAACTATAAATGTCATTTGGAAGATGTAAAAATGATGGATAAGGTTTAACTGTTAGTGATATCACTCGAGAACATTTCTATCATGTAATTGTCATCCTCAGTTTAAGTATTTATGATGTTTATTTTTTCAACAGTAGTTACATACATGCACATTTTTTATAGCTTCCAGATACACCTTTATAATTTGGGAATAAGTTGGAGGAATGTTGTTCACTTAGAACTTTGGTTCTTATCTTAAGTATTCACAGCAAGTGGTTTGCTTGAAGTAGAATTTAATGCCATTTTCTTATAATTTTGAGCAAGATTTTTGCTAATGATATATCATTTTTGTAGTATTTGTTGCTTAATGGCATAGCTGGTTGAAGATTACATCTTTATAAAAGCTCCAAGCCAATCTCATTTGGTTTTATCACTCAAGGGAAATTAGGGGGATCTATTTGCCTTCAGGGAAAAAAAAATCATTGCAACTGTGCAGAACTGAGAATCATTGATTATCTTTTGATAATATTTTAAGTTCTCCCACTCTCTCTTTTTTAAAATTTTTTCTTTTTTTTACTGTAAGTCATATGAAATCTTTAGGTTTCTTCTCCATCTCTATTCTACCAGTACGTATCAGAGAAGCAAAAGCTACAGACCTTTTCTCTAGTTCTTTGTGAGCCAAATTTTAATTTTAACTGGCAATTCAGTTACTTATATGTGCAATTCACGTGAGTGCTGAGGCACATATTTAGAACCTGCAAGAATCTCTTGGAATTCTTGGGAGCAGCCTCCTGTGGAAAGAAGTGTGCTTCACTCTACACGTGTGCCTGTAAACTGTCTGCTAATCAAGGAAGCCAGTTTTGACCCTAAAACCCTATAAAAGATGTCAATGTCAAAAAACTATTTTGAATCCCCTGGGACATATTTTGCTCTTTTGTTTCTTTTGATAAATAGTGAGGCTATGAATCAAATATTGTACTAAGTGAGAAAAGGTTGCCAAATCTTTTAAAACTGTTTTGCATCAATTGTTGAAGTGTTGTAAATATCCTTGAATCAGAAACTTGGAACCCTTATTCATATTGGGCTTCAGAAAGAATTGCATTTTTAAAGATACAGTATATTTTATAGCCACAAAAATTGTGTTATCTTCTTCACTTGGGAAAGAGAAAGAGTGTCCCTTTGTTCTTTCAGTGTGTCAGGAAAGGTATTACTTCATCCAGAGGTGAGATCTTCTTAGTCTCATGGCAAATAATAGTTGTTCATGGGATTGCAATGCAGTAGAATTTTACCTAAACTCCAGTATTAAGAGAATAATCCTTTTGAGGCTTTCCTTTATTTTTTATTAGAGAGATCCATGGCCTTTTTTCCCCAAGTTGTCACTGTTTCCTAAAGGTTCTAAGCAATTTTTGAGGTGTGAGTCACTTCAAGAGTACTTGAATTTTTCCAACAATTAAGATTGCAAGATTTAAACTGTAGTAAAGTTGAACTTAAAACCAGCATAAATTTGCACATAATATATCAAAATGCTCAGTTCAGGTATTGGGAGTATTCTTTTACCCTCATGCAGTCAGTTTGGCTCTTGCTGGAGTGTATGCAACACAAGACCTCAGTAAATGTTATTGGTGCAACGATTCATCAAAGAGCAGTCAGGTTTACCTTAAAGTGCTCACTTTTTTTTTCCAAGCTGGCCATGAGTGTGCAGAGCAGAGGCAGGGAAGAGACTTTTGAAGGTAGTGACACAGTGGTGTAGCTCTGCAGGTCCTTGAAGGATATTCATTATTTTGTCTATGTGCAAAAACCAGAGCAGTGCTGAGTTGCTTATGACATGCATCAAAAAACCTGAATATTGTTCTTGCAGGAAGCTGAGTGTTCATAGTCTTCCTTTTTTTGTTCTTCCTTTTTTTGAGTAATGAATTTATGAAGGACAATTAAGGCCAGTGCTCATAAAAATTGCAGTCCAAAAGGAAGCTGATTCCTGTTGGGAAAATTTAACTTTAATACCAGAATGTTTCAGGAAAAGTCTCATAAATATTTAGCAACTGCAATTATGAGAAGGTAACTCTCATTTATTAGCAAAATAAATAGTTTGACTCTTGACTAAGTGCTTCTGCAAGAACAGGATCTGTAACACACCTTCCTGCTCTATTAGTACCTTTTGTGGATCATGGGGGAAGCTTTGGACTTCAGTGATGGTCTTAGATTTTCTGGTAGCTCATCAGAAATATGTGTTGATTATCCATGATTCTGTTTTGATTTCTTTTATTTCGTAGGTCAGAAGGCTTTTTTGGCATAGAAAATAATGATAAATATTTCAATTTTTCCGTAATAACAGAAGTAATCACTGACACAATCACTTAATCATTTTTCATTTGTCCTAGGAGATGTCACAAAGAATAAAGACTCAAATATTTTGAGCTGAATATTTAAGATGTCCGAAAGATTCTGAGTCATTAACTATGATTAACTGTATCATTGATTACAATGGATTCTTGAAACAGTATTGCATCTCACTGAATTTCTCTTCATCTCACTGTTTTGACTTTTTTTAATGTTTGTTTTTAACTAGGAAACAGAAACTAATTATGAAGAACAAATAAATAAAATTGTTATAGAGAAACAAGAACTTGAGTGGCAGAAGGTAATTTTCCTGCATGCTTTTAGTGTTTTACCTGTTGAAATGGAATTTTAATATGTTAATATAAATTGTGATTTGTTACAATTCCTCTTTTTGGAGCTATTTTTATTTCAGTAGTAGAATGTGCTAGCCAGTAGCTTATTATTTAGTCATCAATATCTGTAGCTTTTATTTTGATTTGGATTGTGCCCAGCTTAGAAATGTTTTTACCAAGAGAATATAATAATATTTGGCATGACTTGGCAATCTGCAGTCAAAAGAGATGGAAATACTGAAGCAATAAGACATTTAGCTGAATATGAGGCAGTTGACATGTCAGTGTGGGGGAAGTGGTGTAGCAGCTTCTCTGTTTTATGCTTGGCTTTGGCAAGTGCAAATGTCAGTGCAGCAAACAACTTCACTTGCAATCTTTTGGAAGTGGTAATTTTCCCACAAAGTTATTTTGAACATTAACTTGTATGTTATCCATGCTCAGAAGTAGTTTGTCACCTTTAACTGTTGAGAATGAAGTGTTCAGTAACATAAGGCCAACATTCTTCTCAGAGTTAGGGCTGCTGAGGTTATGCTTTCCTAGGAAATGCATTCCCTTCTTTAACACAATCAAACCTATGACCCCTGTCACTGGGGCACAAGATAAAAGGCTGCACTCCGTATATTTTACGACCCCAGAAAAAACAATAATTTCAGCTCTATCCTTGATCTTGGGATATTTAACATCTTAGTTGTAAAGGAAGGCTATTTCATCTTGGAGTTCATCCTAACCATCTTAAATTAATAATCCTAACTCTGTGCTTTTCTTTCTTGAAAGATATATATGTGCACACAGAAACAGGAAACATTTTATATTTGTAAAAGCAAGAGTGCTTTCAATTTGTAACCCTTCTTTGCTTTTCTTAACCTAGCATTGCAGTGCTTAATATTCTGGGTTCAAAAAGGAGGATTTCCACTCATTCTAAGACCTCAACAACAATTTAATTTACCACTCATAAAAGGATGGGACTTACAGGTAGTGAGGTGAACTCTGTTCCTGTACTTCACACTTAACATTGGCTCATGGCAAGGCTGATGTAATCAATGAGTGGTAGATTTTGGGAACTTCATGTGAGCAAATATTCTGGGACTTCAAAGGAACAAGCTAATATGAATTCCCAGTTCTGGAGACTCCAGTAAGATGAAAATTCGAAGTGTGACATTTAAATTGGATTTGTGACCTGATTGTTTCTGAATGCAGAATCATATTGACCACAGCAGTAGTTCAATAAGTAGAGATCTTCCTCTGGTTTCTCAAAGGTTCTGTTTTACCATTTCCTTCATAGATTTCCTTTTCACTCAAAATTTCTGTCATTCATTTTATTTTACTTTAAATTTTACAAACTAGTTTGAAATAACGACATTACTTCAGCTAAGTCATATTTGAATATTACAGTTTTTCTACATTTTATAAATATATTGCTGCCGCTCTTGAAAAAAAGACACTTAAGCAGGGAAAACAGAATAACTGGAGAATATATTCATTTAAATCTAGTGAGTATACTCATACTTGTATAACATTACAATATCAAAGCTGATTTTGTGCATATTTTTTAAAAAACCCCACTTTTTTCTTCAGTCTCCCTGCACCACACATACATGGCATGTATGGAAAATTTCTTCCAAGCCTGAATTTCTGAGAGAGATAATAAAAATCATTTTCTCTGATAGTCTTGTGTGAGACTTGTTAGAAAATGAATATTTGTAGACACTCCCCTGTCCTTTTGAAAATAAAATACCTCACTTGAATATATAGTACAAGAAGGCTGTATGTTATAAAGATTTCAGCATTGGAGTTTTTTTTCCATTACATCTATGATAAAGTTATATAAAGGATGAATGTTTAATGAAATCAGACTGATACCTACATAATTTATTCCATGATACTGGCTTGAATTCCTGTATTTTATAGTGCCATCTTAATCTGGCAGTGCTGTGGATATAAAATTTTATTCCTGTGGTGGGCAGGAATACTGCAGTGGGAATAGTTGATGTGCTGATGTCCCTGCAGTACTGCCTCTGCCTCACTAGTGTACTTCACATGCTTGTCACCCCTGGACCTTGGCTAAGGGACAGCCTGAGGAAAACCTTTCTCAAGACTTTTATGTGGTTCTGAATATTCATTTATGTTCTGTGCATTGTTTGTTACACACAAATCAAAACTTTCTCTACTCCTCTTAGGAAGAGTTAATAAGTAAATGGATATGGAACTCCTTATGTCCATGGATTCTTGTTTTCCATCAAAAGGCAACAGCTCTTGCTTGTACAATGTGACAGCAGCACCAACCTGCTGGAGAGAACAGCAATTTTGGAAAGGAATTTATGTTTTAAAACTCTCAATTTCTGTTAAGGCAGAAGAAGAAATTTGACTCCTTGTGTGTGAAACATTTTCAATTTTTGTCCTCCCATTCATTCTTTTTAATAGTCTCAATTTATATTTATTTTTGTGCAGTCATTACTGGATTGTTTCCTGCTTCACACTAATATATTTTAGCTAAACACCTGAGCTGTTCAAGGACAGAGCCTCTTAACTACCTTTACCTAATATATTTCAGTGTTTGGAACTGAAAACCCCTGATCTTCCATACATACCTTCCAGGGTAAAGGTGAAGTATCTTATGGAGAAGCATCATGCTTAAAGATGTTGGAGATTTCCAACTTGTAGAGTGTAGTATTAGCCTATGAGATTATGATATGAAATAATAGCACAGAAAAATTGCATCTTCACTCATTTTCTTGTTTTTATGGATGAGAGTAAAGGCAGGCAGGAGGGTGATAGAAATCTCAACCTCTTGCCTTACACTTAATCCTTTCTGCCCTCCTTCAGCTCTTTCAGGTGGTTTGTTAAAATGACTAAAATTTAACTGTAAACACAATAACAATTATTTTTCAGTGGGATTCTATTTTTAATGGCTAATAAAATTCTATTGTAACTACCTGGACTAGTGTCAAGGTGGCATTGGATGTGGATTGTTTCTGCAGGCTCATGGGATGGAGTTACAGAAGTCCTAACAAAAAGTCTGAATTCCAGAGGGGAGAATTGTTACCTGCTAAGAATTAAAGAGCAGCTGCTACCAAAAAGACAGTTACCAGTTAAAAAATGCATCTCTTTAGTCTTCAGGGTTTTTTAGTCAGTTGTGTCTTTCTAAAAATATTTAACAATCAGTCAGCCTTTTCTTGCAATACTTTATATATGATTTGCTCTAAGATAATGCTTGACTCACACTGTTGTTATTTCACACGAGCAGGAAACTCTGCAGCATCAGACTGACACACTGCAACAACAAAACAAAGAAGCTATGGCAGCTTTTAAAAAACAGGTAACAGATTAAAGCCTTTGGCTTTGACTGTGGAATTTTAAAATATGATGGCATCATAGCGAGTTATCAGTTGGTATGAAAATATTTTTCTATTGCATATAAAATGTTAGAATATACAAAAAAAAAAAAAAATCATGTCCTTTCTTCTGGCCACAGCCTTATGCTTGTATTTTGGCAGTTTTTTCCAGATGCCACTCCTCCTGGCATTTTTCATTTTTATATTTCAAAAACCTCCTAGAGAAGATAATGCTTCTTCTAACACTTTTCTTATTGTTTTGCTTTGTTTGGTTTCCCCCCCCCCCAATCTAGCATGACCTCTGCAAGGGTAGATTCATAAACCATGGTAAAAGATCTGCCACACAAATTACCCTGCTCAACATTTGAAAGTGTGTTTCACTCTTGCATTTTATTCTCCATATTACAGTGAGCAAACACAAGTGCTGAGAGACCTTGCAGAGAGTGCTCATAGGAGCTGAAACTGCTGCCCATGGTGATGAAGAATTTGTCATTAATGCTGCATCACAGTCATGTCACACAAAAAAGAAAGTGACAAGCGATTAGGTTTTTTCCTTGAAAAAACAATTTGAGATTCACAAACTTCTCCTTTTAACTCTACAGTTCCTATAGTTCAAAAAAAAAGCAGGAATTGTACTATGCAGGTTAATATAACTGTATTGTCTTGTTAAATTGCATGAATAAAATTATTGCCATGTGCTGTTCTAAGATTTTTGTTTATTTTGGTTTTTGTTTTTTTTATGTGACTGGCAACCAAGTTACAGGCAAGGATGTTTGCCATGGAAGAAGAAAAGGTACTCTACAATTATTTGTTGTTTGTCATCCAAAGAAGAGCATAAGCAAATGATAATAAAATAAAACTTACAAACATGTCCTAAGTATAAACCAAGTATATTCTGATTACATTGTGTTTCTTGCTATGGCCTTTGCAAAAGAAATGTCTTCATAACTTTGTTATTTCTGTTTCTTTGTTCATAGACTGTAGAATTTCTGAAGTATCACTGCTTATGCTAAAAATCAGTTGAGGAAAGAGTGTTCTTTGATAGTTCAATATTGCAGCTATACAAAATTTACTTTCTTCTAGAGGGTTGGGATAATTGGCCTTTACAAGTAGCACTGAAAAATAACATTTCTAATATTTCTACCTTAGAGAAACCAGATTTTAATAGGGATTTTATTGATTTAGCTGAGCTGGTTTCTTAAGATACTTGACCTAAACTGAAATAAGAAATTTTAGCCTGAATTTATGTGGATTTTGTTAGCTACGTAAGTTTTTTTACCTGACTGAATGCCCAGTTCCTCCTTTGAATGAAGGATTTCCATTTGGTGTACAATGAACCTGTTTCAAAGAGTGAAGTCAGTGAATGTGTGCATGTGGCCTCTATTGTTTCATTTGAATTTCCCAGTGGTTTAGAGCAGGTGGATGTGCTGGATGTGGCATAAGAACTGGCACAGAAATTTGCAAACTGGTTAAATGACTTAAAAGTATATCAAAAGAAACTTTATTGTTTGCTGTGTTGATACTTATTGCTATTTATTTTATATTTTCTGGTTGACTAGTTTTCTAAATTAGGAGTCTGGAATATTTTCTTGCTAATACAGTTCATTTGTCCACATATACCCACTTATTAGTCTCTGGTTTGTATTTTCAGTGACAGCTCCAGAATTAAATTGTGTGCTAATTAATTTTTCCTTCTATTTCCATTGAATTGAATAGTACTTTCAGTACTTTATCCCAAAGTAACTGTAAGGATAAATTAAGCTCAATACAGAGTTGAAAGACCAATTTTTGCACCAGTTTAGATTATATGTACTATGAGTGATCAGGGTGGGTTTGGAAGATTGCACAGCCAGCACTGTGCTGGAAATGACTGGAATGTGCAGGGGTGGTTGAACTGATGTATTTGTGTTTTCTGGAGTATTCTCTGCTATTAGATTCTGGTCTGCATTGGATTGACTGATGTATTTGTGTTTTCTGGAATATTCTCTGCTATTAGATTCTGGTCTGCATTGGATTGACTGCAGCCAGTGAATCTTACCAGATTTAATTCTACTGAAGTCCTTTGACTTTCCCATGTGCAAATTCTGTTTGTCTATACATGCATTCACACACACACATATTTTTATATATATATATATAAAATGTATTTAGTGATTCTAGCAATAGCACATTAATTCATTCTTTGGGGACTGGGAAAACTGAGTAGCTTGTTTCTATGAAAATCCTGCTACTGCAGATAAGAAAATGGATTTACCTGATACCTTTTGTTTTAAAATTTAGTATCTTTATTCTAAATAATGTTGTAACTGGTGAAAATATACTGTTGTGTTTTCACTTTTCTTTTTATAGCAATATATATCTACATTTTGAAATTCTTTAGCTGAATTATTCACCAATGTGAATAGTGGAGTAACACTTGATTTTTGTAAAATTCTTTTTGATAAATTCTTATTGTAAATGCATTTATTCTGCTCAAAATCTGAAGTACAGCTTTTGTTGAAAGGGAAAATACCAACTTGCTGTAGAAACAAAAGAAAAAGAAATCGATGGACTGAAAGAATCATTAAAAGCATTACAGGTAAACTATTCCTTTTTAAAAATAACATTACTTGGAATGCAAGTGTTTTGGGTTTGGGTTTTTTAATAGTAATAAAATTGCTGATTTTAAGAGGGCCTTTAAGGCCTTATAGTTTAATCTTTCTAGCACACCTCACTTTGTAACACTGAGTTTCTGTTCCAGTCTTCAGTGTCACGACTACTTTAACTTTCCAGCTAATGTTCTTTTCCTCCAGCAGAAGGAGGGAAAGTCCCAACAGTGTTTGAAATGTGCTTTCTTTTCATTTCCACAGCCTTCCTCTTTCTTCACATTCTTGTTTTCTTACTTCTCACCTGTCTGGGATCCCTGGTTTTAGGCTCCTAAACAGAACTAAATATTCACCCTGGGCCTCCAATTTGTAGGGGTCTCTGTGTTTTTCAGTGCTTTTCTCTGTTTCACTGGGAGGTTTCTGTATCTACACTTGATCCATGGCTTAAGATAAGGCAGATATATTGAAAATGGATCCACTAGCATTGTAATGCATTGCCAGATTTCAGGTATTACCAGGAACTAATTATTTTTCAGCCCAAAACTGAGTGGGATAATAATTCTATTGAAAACAAAATGGTTACAATGGATTATTACTATGATTTTGAAACTTGTGTTGGTTCTTACTAACATTCTCTTGTAATGGAAGGCATTTACTTGGTAGCAGACTGTTTAATCACTCAGTTAACACAGAATGTATTTTAGGAGCAAAAGAAATCAATTCTCATGGCTGGCCTTCTGAGCAATAGCTGTAAGGATTTTGTTGCCTTGCTCAGACCTTGGCACAGCACAGATGATGTGCAATATCCTTCCCTCCATGGTCTGCTGAACATATGTGGGCAACAAGAGTCATGAAAGATCCCACTGGCCTTTCTTCTGTAAGATAAGCCACACATTTAAAAAATGTTATCTTCAATGTTGAATGTTCACAGTTCAGGCATTTGTGTCAAGTACAGTTCAGATCTAGGAAATTCTGCTGTGCCTTGAGGAAGCAGGAGATCACAATGGACCTGTGCTCCCAGGGAAATTGTTTGGAAATGAGCCTAATACATGAGGGGAGAATTTTTAATTCAATTCTGTATTCTTCTCTGTAGAGTCAGAACCCTAATTAAAATGATTGTTCTCTAGGTTTCTTCCTATAAATAATATTTTCTATATAATATTTGTACACTGTGGGTTCTTTGACATTGCTCTGTTTTTCCCTGTTATACTTAAGCATTATGCAAATCCAAATACTCTGTCAGTGAGGTATTAAATAGTGTTAATGTCTTCTAGCATCAGCTTTATATTATTAAAGCATGTGAGATTAGTACATTATCTCTTTATATACTACAATTTAGAATATCTCATAAGATGTTTTTGGGTTTTTTTCCAACAAGGAATACTTTTATTTCTACCTTTGTCTTCTCTATTTATTTCTAAGGGTCCAGTTTACAGACTGTGGCCCATTTACATGTTATTTTTATGATGCCTGTCAGAAAACACAAGGATTTATGAACTTTTTCAGAACTCCTCTAATAACAAATCAATGTAAAGTGGTCTTACATAATTTAAATATTGAAGTAACATTATGAAGTAAAGTGAATCTTATAATAAATGAGATTGTGCCATCATTAATTGAAAACCAGCATTACTGTATCGGATGGATTAATAACAAATGCAATTAAATCCTAGGAATAATAATACTTAATTGTGCAGGTTGTTGTCAGAAAAAATATAAATACCATTTAATGTATAACTCTCTGTTGTTTTACAGATTTCAAAATACACTTTACAAAAGAAACTGAATGAAATGGTAAGAAAGTAATAAAAGCAAAAAAAAGAAGGAAGAGATTTAATAAAAAGTGTATGCTTAGGGTATAATCCACTACTAATTGACTTTAATATTTAAATGATATATGATCATTATTAAAACAAAGAGGTATCAGCTTCACATCTGAAAATCTTACAAATGCAATGTTTTTAGACTTTTAGTGTGATAGCTGCTGTTCATCATGTGGTATTTTTTCCTCACTGAAGTAGAGTAGAATTGGTACATTTTTAGAAATAGATTTTTATTTTTTTATTTAATATTTTTTATAATTTAATTATATATTTTTTATTTTATAGATTTTTTTAATAAAGATTTTTTAACGGACTGTCATTTAAATAATGTATTTTTATTACTCTGATAGGATCTAGCATAATAATCTCAACAAGTAATAGAGAATTCTTAGCAGTTCTTGGTTTTGCTTTTAAGAAAAACTGGTGGTTTTCCTCTCACTCTTTTTTTACTCCTCAGAATTAGTTCTTAACATCAGTTTCCCTGAACAGTTTAGATTTCATCCAGTGCAGCCTACTCCCTTTGACACAGGGAATAAATTTACCCAGAGTGACAGCATAGTGGCTCTGAACCCTGTTGTCTGTTTTAGGAAGTGAAAGAGTGAGCCCCAGAAACATTGCTAGGCTTGATTGAATAAATGCTGTGAAAATTCTGCTGCTGCTCAACTGGAAAGAATAAAGATAATATTGTCAGACCATTACAAACTGTGATTTTAATTAAGAAGCTCAAAAAACTAGAGTCCAGTTTAGCTTTAAGTACCATGACATTTGTACTGAAAGTCATCTTCAACGCTACAGTGGTTTTACACAAAATATGGTGAAATTGAATAATGTGCCCTCTGACCTGGGAGATAAGGCTACAAGTTAAAGATCAAAGGCAACATAAAATGTATTTTGTCTTACTTCACTTTTAACTTGTATTTATTCCTAAAATGCAGCTGATTTAAAAATGTGTTGAAAATATACAGAATAATTGGACTTACATTTAGGTCATTTCACTTTTTATCTTTCTTTTATAACATACGAGCTCAGTCTTCCACATGAGCGAGAATATTTCAAGGACAGCACCTTTACTGGAGGATGGAAATGCATCTATGCTGCTTAAACAAATGTATTTCTAATGTTCCTAAACTTTTCATTATTTGATCTTTTGAATATTTTGAAGGCATTTGCATGGTAATCTGAAATGCTGTTGAGTGGGGGCACGATGCTAGAAATGCTCTTTTGCATATAGCTCTAAACAGAAGACATACAGTTGGGACTTACTTAGGGAAAATGCTCTGATATGAAATGATGAAAACAAAATACCCCACATGGTAAACAAAAGTAAATTCTTTCCTATAACCTTTTGCAGTATTGGGCTAAAGCAGTTTTAGACCAGGTCAAATTCTACCAACTTTACTCCCTGAGTGGTTGCACTGAATTAAGTGGTACATTCAAGGGATCAAAGTAGTAGCCACCCATGTAGATGTAGGTCACCACCAATGGCAAAGTGTTTAAAAATAAAATGGATGTAGTTCTGAACCAGTCACTTATCTGAGACCCATTTCTATTTCAATTTTGCTAAAGACAAAATTTTGTTCTCTGGTGTGTGTTTCGAGAGTGAGCTGTTCAGTTTATATCTGGCACTTTAGAAACCCTGCCAGTCTGTGAAGGAGCTTCTGTCTGTACTGGGGACTGGGTGTGCCTTACTGGTGGAGCTTTTTATTCTGTTTTTATTCCTTTAATTCTGTTCCTTTAGAATAGTATAAGCAAGGTTAATACTTGACATAAACACCATGTTTTAGCATGCTGTCCAGTTAAGTTTATGCAAGTAGTGCTGATAAAATTCTTAACATATATACTATGATTTTGAAATAGTGGAAGGTTTTGCTTCTTATTGAAAGACAGTAGAGAGACAAACAAAGGATTTTTTTGTCTTTTATTAATTTGTCTTTATTATGGTCTTTTTTTTCCCCCCACAACAGAAGTGTTGATTATTGCATGCAGTGTGCAGTTTTGCACCTCACTGCATATGGACAGTGGCACTCATGCAGTCAAGAGGCTGCAGGGGGATTACTGCAAAGAGTTCAATTGATAGAATACACTTGAGTGTGGGCTCTGTATTGAATTTGTTTCCTGCTGCTGAAATTAGGAAGTAACTGGAGGAAAATGGTCAGGTGTTGGTTTCCTGAGAGATGATACATTAGAGGATGCCAGAACTGTCTGTGTGTGCCATCTGTTCTTGTCTTCCCTTACTGTTTTTATTGGAAACTAAATGTATGTGAAACCATTTAGTGAAGCTGCAGTCACATGGTCTAGGTTGATTAAACCCTACCACTCTTCAGAAAAGAGGGAATTGGAATCCAAATACCCCACATCATTCCCAGCAGTCACCTGAACTGTGCCCAGGATCTGCTTACATGAGTCCTGCTGGGCACAGACCAAAATGTCTCAGGGATATTTTAACAACAGTACAGGCATTTCCTGAGGACTTCCCTGCCATTTAGTTTTCTAATACAGGTGTAGTCGTCAAATGAAAAAGTAATTACTACAAAATGTTAAATAAACTTCAAAAGTTGGTTTGTTCTTAATAATCTAAGATAGGAACGTTGGTTTTGTTTCCTTTCTGCATCTTTTAGGAGTTTGCCTGTAATCATATTGTGTTGTTTAAAAACACAGTGAGGAGCCAGTGATACAATATAAATTAAACTCAATTATTTTAAAGTAGAAAAACAGTGAGAACTGGAGGAAGTGTTGTGAAAAAAATTCCTATTTCGAAGACCTACAGTTGGTAGCCCTTTGCATAGTTTTCATGTGCTCTTGCCTTAGGTCTCCATGCCATTACATCTCCTTTGTTTGTCTGACACTTTCACCTCCCCATTACCACCTTCTGCTTCACTGAGTACCTCTGAGTAGTGACTCCATTTCCAGAATATCTTGGAGATATGAGCAATTCCCTCTTTGTGTTTCTCCAGTCACCCACTTGACCCTGAGCTATTTCTCAGGTCTAGTTCCACCAAGAAATCATTGTGCCTCAACAAGCCATATGGCCACAATCAATTCCACTCCCCATCCCAGCTTATCTTTATTACTGGTGGAGGGCAGGGCAATAATTCCTGTTCTTGCACTATCGGACATAAGGAAGAAGAACCAAGATTCTGTGGGTCTCACTCCAACTCCAGGGTCATGCACTCCCTAGCCTGCAGTGTCTCCTGGTGTTTCTTGATTGTCTTCTATGGAAGAATGTTTTACAACATTTTCACTGTGAGGAGACGAATCACATACTCAGGCTTTTATTCCTCAGGCTTTTATTTTATTAAGCCTGGGGAGCCGCCTGCTGTCAAAAATCATATTTAGGCAAGTGTTAAGCTCTTAATAAAACTCTTACAGATAGAGCAGGCCAGTTCTTTTTTACCCTGGGAAGAGCCCTGGGAAGTAGCAAAGCACATATATCAACTTTTTGACAGAGGAGGAGGGACTAACACTATCTTGCTGACTAAAGAAAGGAATTGGGATAGCACTAAGAAAAAAATCCATATTAAAAACTGCAAAACTCCTCAGATCTTGCCACAAGCTGTTCAAGTCTCAAATTAGGGCTGTCTCCCTGTTCATTGATCTCTTAGAATAAATATACCTGAGGGAACTAGCAGGAAAAACAAAGAAAATATTTTTCTTTTAATGTTTTTGTTATAAAATTCCTCTCCGAGCATTAGTTAAGCACAGATCTTCAACAGTTAATTTATGATTAGGGAAAAGAGAAAGCATTAGAACATTTTCAGCCTCCATTCCTTGCAGTGATTTCTGTAAGTAGTGGTGTTTCTTTACTAGTGCTTCCATTATGACTTTCCATTTGCTGTAGTGTGTTTAATTTCATACCTTATAAAACATGAGAAATTTGTATTGTACATCCTGTTTTGCTAGTCTTATGGTGGTCATTTCTTTTGATTACTATCAGCTTTTATTATCCTCTGATGCCTGGACATGTATTGCATTTGTTACTGTGTGGAAATGGAGCCTTGCCAAAGCCAGACTGGGCCAGATGCATCCTGGTGTAACTTGAATTTACACACAGGAATGAATTTGGCCCAGTTCCTCTTAATTGCTGTGTTCCTCTACTGTAGACTAGAAATCGATTAGATACCTAATCAAATGCTTATCCTTTCTGAGGAATTAATTTAACCAATTATCTTCAGAGAAAATTAATTTTAAAATTCACCATAGTACCTACAAAACTGTCAACAAAAATACAGTAGAAAGAACACAAAAATCTTAGTGTTATGAGGATAACAAGTAGCTTTAAAAAAATATGTTGCTGAACAGTTTCCACAAAATGAGAGAGATTGGTAAAATTCACTAAATATATTGTACTTAATTACCATGTAGGTTTCTTTGTGGTATTACTTAGGCCAACATGTGAATAGAAGTAAAATGAAGTGTTAGATGCTTATAACGTAGTTAGAAACTTCCCCTACAGATACACAAAGTGATTCCATGATGTTTCAAGATACTAGGACAGCTAATTGGTACTGAAGAATTAAGAATTACTCATTGAAAGGTTATTGATATTTTCCTGCAAAGCATGGGATATTAATATGCATTAGTCTCACTAATCTAAATCAAAGTCACCACTTTGCAGTAGTTGATGCACCTCTGATTTTTAGCAAGTGTGTTGAATAGGTGTGTCAAATACACAAACTCTCTCCTAATTGCCCTTGGCTGTATCATTTTTACAAGCCCAGGACTGGGATGGATGAAGCTGTGAGGAGTCTCTTGAGCTGGCTCAGAACAGGGTCAGTGGAGCCAGTGTCACAGAGCCATGTCTGTTGGTTTTTAGTATCTCCATGGATCCTCTAGCCTGCCTGGGCAACCTGTTCCAGTCTTTTTCCACCCTTACAATAAATTTCTTTCCCCTCAAGTTTAAGTGAAATTGCCTATCTTTCACTTTGTGTCAGTGAGCACCACTAAAAGGAGTCTGGCAGTGATTTCTTTATTCCTTGTACACACACACCTCCCCTGGTATATACACATTTCTCAGCTCCTCTCCAGGCTGAGCCTTCACAGGTCCCTCAGCCTCTCCTCAAATATTAGGTGCTCAAATCCATGATGACTCTGTGTCTCTTCCTGCTATTTGAAAATGGGAAAAGTCATTAGATATGAAACAGACAACTGATACATTCTGGGAATAATTTTGCATTTATGCTGTTATATTCAAAAGCACTTGGAGAGCTACTTACTGTCATTAAATGGGTGCTTCATTTATGTTCCTAACAGGATCAAAAATTGCAGATGCACTTAACAGCAAAAGAGGAGCATCACAAGAAGCTGAATGAAATTGAGAGGTGTTATGCTACTATTGCATCTCGGTTTGGAATTGTAAAAGGTGTTCATGGCAAACTAGAGCACAGTGGTATGTATGCCTGAAATGCCCTCCAGCCCTTGGTTTTGCTGTGCTCTGACAACACTGAGTTGGAGACATTTGAAAACTCAGAAAAATAGCAGCTACCCCATGCCAGGTGTCAGATATCTTGGTAGGTTCCTCAGTGCTCTTTGCTGATCCAGTGCTACAGTCGTGTGTGTGACCACACAGGAAATTATACTGAGGAATTATCAAACAAAAAACACCACCCCAAAACACCAAAAAAACCTCTTCATTTACTGAATCTTAGTGAAATTTTAGTTTCTGCCTGAAACTAAAATATTTTTTTCAAATCTAGTTTGAATAAACTGGTAACATATTCTGTTTATATTTGTGGTATTTCAGTACCTTAAGTTACTTCAATTTTTAAAATTTTAAATCCAGAACATTACAGACATTGGCTAACCAATGTCTGCTGATTGTACTTCAAAGCTAGAGAGTGAGCACATGACTTTTATTGAAAAATAGGGGAAAGTTTTACCAGTTTTGGCCTGCTTGTTTTTCTGGGGGATTTTCCTAAGTTGTATCGAAGATAGGAGTTGTATTCATTAGTATTTGAATTTTTAAGCACATATTCTCATTCCAAACTGCAAAATTGCTTATCATGCACTGAGGCTGTTGTCCATCATTCCTCATGGTGGACCATCCCTAGCAGGAAAGGAGAGAATATTCTGGGGATCTACAGTTCTTGTACTCAAGTGTGGTGCCAGAAAACTACTGAGGAAAATAAAGAAGATTAGGGGTGAACAAAGATGAATTAGAAAATAGAAAAGGACGAAGGGGAACCTCAGAGGATCAAAATACAAAGATTGAATAGAGCTGTCTGAAAAAGTACAGGAGCCAGTAAATATCTTCAGCTTTTCATTGTTGAATTTCAAGCAATTTCCCAGTGTCATCTTCATCTGTATAAAGTTTAAGAAAGTTCCCTTCACTTTCAGCAGGAGTAAAAGTTATTCTGAGAATTTTCTGCTGTGCTATCCTCTGATGGTTTTCTGTCTTCCATGGCCTATATGCATATAACTCTGCATCTGTTAACTCAGTTATTAATTTGTTCTGTGACCCATTGTCTGAAAAATACTGTCTGAAAATAATTAAACTCATCACAAAATTACAAGCAAAGCTTTAAAAAATAAAACCAAAGTTAAAAGTCCTATTAAAATGACATCATAAGACACTAAAAATTAAATTACAATTAAAAAAGATAAGCCAACATACAGAAAAGTCTTAGTCTTGTTTGAGGTATAGACAACTGGTACCACTTGGTTTAATCCTCCAGTGTGGTATCAAACTACACAGAAAATGTGGTTGAATCATATTTGCAGTTTTAGGTTTGATTTTTAAAATAAATTATATGCACATTTATCGCAGTTATAAATCAAATATTTGTTCAAATGTGAAATTATTTGTTAACATGCTTCAACTTTTGTTTAAAGTGCAGGAAGCCATACAGCACAATAAGAAATTAGCATCAGTGAATAAAAGACAAGAGACTGAAATAAATAATCTGAAGGAAGTAAGTACAGTGCACATTTCTGAATGAAGAATGATCCTTGTGGGTCCCTTCCAGCTCAGAATATTCTGTGATTCTGTGATTCTTTGGGCCTTCCAAAAGCTGCTGCCATATTAATAGAAGTGGTGGGCAGGCAGCAGAACTGTTTTCATTCTATAATTAATGGCCAGATTAGCTTCCACAGACACTTCAGTTGGACCTGGAGCAGCTCTGAGAATTTTCTGTGTCCTGTGAATTTTTATTTACCTCCACAGCATCCTCCTTGTTCCTTGCTAATTATTATTAACCTCTCTTCTTGCTGTGCTGTGCTGCCATCTCTTCTCCATCTGATGAGGAGGGTAGCAGTGGTGTTTTCAGTTCAGTCAGAGAAAACATGAGGAGCAGTTGCCATGGAAGCGAGCTGGGGCTTGCACATGGGATAAAATGTGTGACAATCTCTGAAGTGGAGAGTTTTGTGACAAGGCAGCTGAGACTTCAGATTATGGTTATTCTATTTACAAGGAAGTTGTCACTAAGCTCTTTTCTCCTGCCTCTATTCAGAAGCTCCTCTTTGCCAAGTCATGTTTGAGCTGCACTCTTGAACATAGGTAATAGTGGGAAGAATAATGTTCTTTTCCCTTTGAGCTGCTTCTTAAGAGCTGACAAGAGAAAAGCAAAAGGATGCTCATAAGTCAGAATTCTGTAAACTCAGTATCTTTCCACATCACATCTCGTTTTTATTTCCCTAATTTTTTTTCTCCTTTAGAGTCTGTAATAATTTTATGTACAGATCGAATGAATGATTATCTGAACTCCTTGGCCTAATGTTAATCCCCAGTTTCCAGATGATTGCTTTGAATTACCATGGAATCTTTGCCAAGTTTGTGAATGAGCAAAAAATGGGCAGGGGGAGAAAATAATTTGTACATGCAGAAAAGGGACTATGACCATTTTATATTTGGGTTATATTGATCAAAAAATGGATGTTTACTTGTTTACCTTTCTTTGCCTGAAAAATGGGATTTGAAGTCACAACAGTACTTGAAAATTCTCCCTGAAGCTCTTATTGTTTCTTTTATTCTTAAGAGCATGTAGCCTTTTATTGTTAAGGTTCTTTGAAGTATGATTCCACTAAAAGCCAGGCTTAAAATATAATTTTATCTTGAAATATAGACATTTTGAGATTTTTAAAAATTAATTTAATTCTTAGCTTCTTTTGTGCTTTACTTAATTCTTTGTATTTATTACATGGAGATATTCTAGCCACAGTAAAAATTAATCAGGAATTCAATCTGGATTTTTTTAGTTATGTGCTAGAATATAATATGCCAAACATCAGTGTCAAAAAGATCAAGTTTTGAAGTGATCAAAGATTTCAGAACTCTTACCATCACAAAAGCAGACTGAAATCCACAGTAACAGAACACTGGAAAAATTCTCAAATTAATTTCTGTATCACAATTAGCCTTAAAGTATTTAAAAATATTTATTTAACTACATAATTCAAATGATAGGTTATATATAAAAACCATATATATTTATCTGGAATATTTGATGCATGGAAGAGAAACAGAAAAATATTGGAAGGTGTCAGTGGAGATAACTTTCCTCTGTAGGAAAGCCATGTTTCTTAGGGTGCTGGTGTCATCATAACTGTGAATATCTGAGAGCAGCTTTGTCTGTGCACTGTGTACACTCCAACTGTGCAATTCCTTTAAAAAAAGGGAAATAACTTGCATGTGACAGGAACAGGAGCGTTCATTTAAAATGCAGCATATCTTTATTGTAGTATATTGCAGCTAAAAAAGTGAGGAGTTTTAGAAATATTTCAGCATCACAGTAAATAGGATTTGTTGCTTTTGGTGAGAAACCAAGAAAAATTAATTACTTAGTATTCCCTGAGGGTAAGTAATTTGAGAGGTAAGAAAACAAATGTTTAAGAAAATTTTACATAGTGGAATTTGTGAGTAACATAGGTGTGAGAGAGAAATTGAGACTTACCTACTTCAGCAATCAAACATATTATTTGATCCACTCTTTTTTTCAGCTGTACTCTTGATTCTTAAGGTCATGAAGGGTTATTAATTTTAAATAAAATACTGTTAGATAAGCAGGAAAAAGGGGCCAGCTGAAACTTAATCCAGCTTCCTCAGTTCAGCAGGAAATGCCTTTATTGTTGTTATTTCCGAATTTCTTATTGATTTTTGTATTTGACTGTTCTGAACAGTCTGAACTAGGATATTTAGAAGAGTTTTGAAAAGAGATTACCAGGCTGTTTTCACTTGCTTCATAGCTGAAAGAAGTCATGATATCAACAGCATAATTTGAGACAACTTCTAAAGCTGGTTTTATCTGCCTTGGAGACTTGACTGACCTCTAACAGTTCTGACAACTTCTGGGTTCAAACTTCTTTCCTCTGTAGCTTCAGTGCTGGAATGGGAATGACTATCCATGGTACTAAAATCTTAATTTGGTTGTCAGCTCTTATCACAGCCATTACTTTCACTCAGACCTGGATGATCTCACACATTTGTTCTTAATGGGAATGTGAAGTTAGTGAATACTGTTTAACATTTATGGATAAAAATAAACTAATCTCCAATTTTAATGAAATTGCACGTGTACTATGAGGATGTGAGGATGTTAAATATGTACAACAGTAAATTTGAGTGAAATTGAGGTCTATTCTGCACAGGTTTACTCTTCTAGGGTTTCAGGAGAGGAATATTATTTAGAGAGGTTGTGATTTTCTCTTGACATTCCCTACTTCATGTCCAGTTCCTAAATTGTAATGTAATGGACTGTGGCAAAATTTCCTTTCAGTAACATTTATTTTAGGACTTGAACATTTTGATATTCAATGTGGTAGGATTCTTCTCAACCACTGTGAAAATGCTTGCATTGATATCTGGCCAAGAAAAAGGTTTCTGACATTCTGCTGCTTAAAAAACAACTCTGCTGTTCAAGACCCAAAAGATTACAAGAGGGTTGCAGGAATCTAGGAAGAGAGCAAACAGATATAGGTGTAATTTTGAATTTTTTAGGTGTAACTTCGTAATTTTGAACAGGTAAAGTTTTCATAGGATATCAGTCTTGGAAGTGGTTGCATCTGCCAAGTATAGTATGCTGGGACATGTATATGTGTGGCCTCAAGGGAGAGTGGAATTCGTGTTTTATATTGAACAAAATTAGATTTTACCAAGAAACCCCAAAACCACAAAAACACCCCAAAATAAAAATAATAAAAAAAAACAAACCAAAACAACCCAACCAAAAAAGTGGAAGTTCTAGTTTAGACCAACTTGGAGAAGGAAAACAGATTTAAGGAGCAGGACTGGGATTTTGGGATGCTCTTGACTTGGCATGAAGTGTTTTTGAAGCCATGTCCCAAAGCATTGGCTGCTAGCAGCAGATCAAGGGAATGGGTTTGAAGCCTTACAATTGTCTCTCAGCACACCCCAGAACTGATAAAATTATTTTCCACATTCAACATATTTGATAGATTTTTGGATACTAATTGTGATTTTAATAATGAGAGAAAGATACTAGAAAAAAAAGCAAAAACTCTGGGGTGACATTTTAATTAAATTCAGAGTACAAAAAAATACATGTATGTATGTAAAAAATTACTTTAAAAATTATTTTTGCGGCTACAAGCCATTTGATGTCACTCACCATGAAAAACTTTGCCATTATTTTTGGTGGTTTCATTTGTGGGGTTTTTTTGGGGGGGGGAGTTTGTGCGGGGTTCTGGTTGCTTGTTTGTTTTGGTTTTTCCTGCCTACAGCATTGTATTAACAGGTTTGGGTTTGCTTGCAGACACCTGCCATTAGAAAGAAGAAAACACAGTCATCTTTTCTGCCTCAATGGCATGATTTACTTCGTGTGACTTGTGCTTTCCCTGCTACAAACGAAGTTTTTTCTGCACATTCTAAAGCCTGAGTTTTGGAAAACACCTGGCATCAGCTCCATGGCAGGATTGTCACCTGCTGGTGTGGCAGCCAGCCTGTGAGCTGTGCTCCCTGTGCCATTCATCTGCTTCTGTGTGCAGGCTGGCACGGGGCACCTTTGCCCTTTCCCAGAGTTAGAGCTGCTTGCACCTTCTGCCATTGAACAGCAGGAGCTCTCCTTGCATGGTTCACTACAGAGCCTTCTAGTAACAGCAGTACAACTGAGATATCTTTATTGCAAAAGATGGGAAAACCTAACTGGCTTACAAAATAGAATAATTGTGAGGAATTGCTGGCTTTCAGTTCTGTAACTGATTTTGCAACCACACTTAGGACTTATTAGATCATTTTAGATTTATGTATGGATAAAAATACATGAGAAATAAAGCCTCTAGCAAAAAAAAAAAAAAAGATTTCTTTAAAAATACTACCTATACTTGTGAATTTCAGCTCCAACATAATCTTTCTTTCTTCTTTTGTACTGTTCTCTGATTTTGTCCAGAACAGTTAAACCACTGGCCTGTGATAATTCTGTCTGTGATAACTGAAATTCCAGTTTTGTGAAGAAAAGTTAAACAGACCGAACTTAGTTGTTAGATAAAACTATGACCATTCTGAATGCTTGGTTCACCACTATGGCATCATGGAGAATTCTTGATGCTATCTGTGAGCAGCATTCATAACCTCTGCTATTTGTCTGAGTAAACGTCAGAGCGCTCAAGGAGAGAGCGATATTAAACAGACTACCTTGCACCAGGATGGGAGGGGAGGGGGAGAGCAGGGCACAATATTTATGGCTCCAGGAACTATAAGTTGTAATTTAATGAGATCAAAGAGTTTGCTGTTTATTTGCTGCGCTAGGAGCTCTGAATAAACTGGTTACAAAACAGATGCAAAAAAAAAAGGGGGGGAAAAAAAAAAGGAAAAAAAAAAAGCCACAGGATATTTAAAAGAGGATAAAGACTGTAAAATCAAAGGTATCATGTTGTAGAACCTTCTAATATAAAATTAATTTAGCATTCTCTTGAGATTAAGTAATTAATGTTTCAGGAAAAGCAAAGATCCTCCAAATTTATAGCCAGTTCCTGTTTTTACCAGATAATCACTGTTCTCCCTTTTTTTTTTCCTCATTCCCAAGAACGTACACAGTAGTTACAACAGTAATTCCTATTGTGTATATGGGTAAAGTAAGTTTAACCAATACCAACTCAATGTCCACTCCTAATATACCTCTTGGAAGAGAAAATAACAAAATGATTAAGTAAATACTTCAAACAGTGAAATTGGCACAACATTTTACCTGTGAAAATAAACTTTTAGTCACGTGTGACAAGTTTGAAGTTTACTAAGTCAGTCTTACACATTTCAGTACCTCTAATTTATTCTGTTGTTTCTATACATTATTTCAAAGTAGGGCATGACCAGGATAGTTTAAAAGATTTGTCTCTGTTTTGAATTGCAATGCCTATACTGGATGAACTATTTATATAAGTTTCCTGTGTTAAGGAACTGAAGAAAGTAACTACAGACTTGATAAGGTCCAAGGTCACCTCTCAGTACAGGGTGGGAGAAGAAAACATCAATCTTGCAGTGAAGGAAAAACAGTTTCAAGAACTGCAACAGAAAATCAGAATGGTATTTTGGATTTTAAACAAATAATAGTTTTGGTGAATATTTTCTGGTTTTCATTCAGCAAAACCTCCTGGCAATTATCTCTGATGGATACAGATTAGGGATTCTTTTCTACTATACTGCATGTACAATGTAATTAAACTATTTCCACTCTAACCTTTGCCAGGGAAGTAAATGTGCTATGAATATCAGTATAATTTCATAGTAAAAAAAATTGGGTAAGAAGACATTAAAAAAATAATTCAATTTCTTTAAATAGCCTCATGAAGATTCACTATATCATATTAATTCAATATTGTTAAAAAATAGACAGTAATTTAAAATGCCTTTTACTGTTCTTCATGTTCTTTTCTTTTTTTAAGGAGACAGCAGTCAGTAAAAAAGTTCAAGAAGAAAACACTCACATTAAAGAAGAAAAGCTGGTGAGTTAATACAGGTTCACTATTTAAAAATCGCTTAAGAATGTAGGTTCTACATTTCATACTCAGGTTTCTTATTATACTAAGCTACAAAAACGAGTTAATTTGACTTGTTTACACTTCAGAGATTTTTTTAATACTGGCATAAGTGGTATCTTACTGCTCAGATTTTAGAAGTATTACCAGAACAAAGTGTGTTATTTGACACTTTATTCCAAGTCTTACATTTTGTCTTTGAATTCAGATGGGAGAAATTTGGTATTCCCATTAAACACTTGCCTATATGGGGGTTCAGTACAAATAAACAGCAAGGCTGGCATAACATGCTGGCTGTGCTGCTTTCTGGTTGCCAACAGTTTATTCTAACATTGTTGCTATTGAAACCAGGTAAAATGGGGAAAATGTGTCAGTGGTATACAGAGGAAATGATGTTCCATTCACACAGAACATAAACATTTAGACTGTTAAGCAACACTTTTACATCCCTGAACAGAGTTTGGACTTCTCTAATTCAGGTATGTTCCGGAAAAAATTATTTTTAAAAAAGCCTATGGAGTCAAGTATCAAATGCAGCAAAAAAAAAATTTGTTCCATGTAATAACAACATAATGCACTGCTTTGCAGAACATTAAATCTGAAAAGGGTGGGTTTTTTTTCCTGTTCTTGAACAGTTGCAGGATTTTCCCTCTGCAGTTCACAAAAGGGAACAGGTCAGAGAAGTGTTATTATCATTCTTGGTGCCAGGGAGGGACAAAAGCAGTATCTTACTGGCATGCCCATAGAGCACTCATCCAGCAGCACTCTTCCAATTTATAAAAACCTGTTTGCATTTTGAGCTTGCTTCTAAAAAATACTTGGCAATAAACACACGGGAAAAAATGAGAGACATATTCAGGCCTCATTACTGTCCCAGCCCTGCAAGCACTGAAAGCATTTCCATGGAGATGTGTGGAGCACAATTCGTATGCATATTTGCTATGTGTTATCTAAGAGAAGGATTCTGGTTTGTGTCTCTCTCGTTCTGTGTCAATTGCTAGGGTTTGTTTGGTAGGTTAGTTTGAACATATGGAGGGGTTTGGTGTAGGCTGGGGAGGGCTGTAATGTAGAGATGAGCTTCATGTTTCCTCCAAGTGCTTGGGTTAGAAGACAGGGATTTCTGTGTTGTGAGGCACTAATAATTCACCTCGATTAACTGAAATGTTGGCTTCAGTGGTTCCTGGACTTAGGCTAGAAATACCATCTAAATTACAGCTGATTTGTACTAAACTGTGTAAGAGAAGCAGTCTGGTCTATTTGAGAGAAAACTGTTCTAGATTTAAAAGATGTGGCCAACTCTGCTACTGACCTATGAGATGACACTGGCCAAGCCATTCCACAGCTCTGCAATTCAGTCTTCTGGATGTAAAACGGAACAAAAAATAAATCAGCTTCAGTGAAAAAAATATTATTTATACATGCATGAAAAGGAATGAGAGTACACTAAAATACTGATTTTATTTTTATTAACAGCTATCTAGCAGTTATCTGTGTATCCAGTAGAACCAAAACTAGAACAATTTGAAAGTACTTTGCAAGTGTGTCGAAGTACTTTGTTTTAATAATATGTTCCTCTCTCAATGTATCTTGAAGCAGTTGAGCACATTTAAGATTCCTTTCTGCCTGAAACTCTTGGGTTTTTTCTGTGCAGGTCATCTTTTAGTGATTGCTGTAAGTGGTCTTGAAGGGCTGTTGATTGGCTTGTCTGGGTCAGTCACTCTGACTTTCAAACTTCGGAAAAATGTTTGGTAGTGTTCAATAGAAAATGACTCCGTTTCCTCCAGACTGCAACACACTTCCTGGCAGCACTCATGGCACCTTCAGCAACTCAAATCACCTCACTTTGGGTGGCTCTTTTTTTACAACTTCCCCTTCATGAAGTAACAATAGAGTCTTGAGAAGGTACCACAAAAGTTCAGACCCTGACAGTAAAATATGATACAGCTGCCACTGTATGATACAAAGCTGATAGGTGGTAGTTCACATCTATTAGGATTTAATTCAGGAGATACAGAATAATTTCATGTTAGGGTGATCCATTAATGGAATAATTTCTTTTTTATTTTCCATATTTTTTCAGACCTGTGATGTGGTAAGATAAAGTTATTGTGATTGTCCTGAACTGAAATCATAACAGGGTTGGATTTGATGTATTTCATCCCGATTTGCACTGAAGAATGTATAAAGATTGGGTGGATTTCATTTTAATTATAGGAAAATTGTCTAAAAAAGAATGTTATAGTAATTTATAACAATGTTAACTTCTTCAAAGTAAAAGGTTAGAAAAAATGGGTGTTCTGATTTCTCCCTACAGATTTTCCCCAATGTTGAGGCTGGAGTACCTTTTTTTATAGACATAATTTTGTAAACACTGACAGAATAAAAATAAATTAATATAAAAGACATAAATCATCTAATATTTAAACTCCAGAAACAAAATCTTGCTCAATATATTCTATTCTGTTTGTATTAATAAGGAAATTCTCAGCTCTCTACAGTGTGTGCAGGAGCTGCTTCAGCGAATAACCCAAGCGAATGTTAGAATGGAAAGTGAATTAAATGCACTGAAAGAAGACTATCAGGTCAGATTTTTCTCGATTAGACAAGCTGTTAGTCTCTGTTATGTATTTTTAAAGTCCAGGGCTGTTAAAGACATCTGTGTGCCTTTCAGAACTTTTGACCTCACTTCCATTGCTCCCTCAGCTCCTTAACTGTCAGCACGAGCCTTGAAGTTGTGGCTGTGCGTTCCCTCTTCTCCCCCTAAAGTAAATCATGCTTGCCATTCTTAGCGGCCGTTTCCAGAGGGCAAAACCAGAACAGGGTTGCTTTCAAATACTGGAATCAAATTATTTTAGGATTTTTGTTGTAATTTTCATATAGGTACATATTTCTGGGCGACATTTCAAATTTCAGATCTTCATTCATAGCTGGAGCTTGTCCTCAGTTTTATTAAAGCAGAGGCCTAAAAAGAGGATTATCTTTAGCCCTTCCTTGCTGTGTTTTCTGGCATCATATTAATGCTAGAGGTGGGAAGTAGTCACGCTGGAGAGTGTGGAGTTGCAGCACTCCTCAGTTCCTCTTTGGCTTGGTTTAGGGCAAATTTAGGGAGGAAACTTTTGAAGTGGCCCCTTTAGAAGCAAATTTAAGCGGCCTCTCCTCCCACGAGTTCGGGAGACAAATTTCCTTTGAGAAAAGTGGAAAAATTTGTTTATTTATCAGGCAAAGTACTCACAAACATGAAAAAAAAAAAAAGAAAAATATTAAACTTCTTGTTTTTCGGAAGAGATGGCAAATTGAGAAAGTCTTTCTCTAGTTCAGAGGCCTTTTTGTGGGTGTGTCTTGGTTTTTTCTCAGTCTCTCCGGGGCTCGGGTCCGGTGTCCTGGCCACAATGTAGCTTGAGGTGCCCCCGGAGGATTATCTTGGTGTTCTCGGACCGAACAATAGCTGAACACTTCCAAAAAACTTCTGGCCTCAGCCAACTAAAAAAAAAATACCTAATTAAAAGCAAAGGAGAGTTCTGTTGCACAGCCCGGTCCGTGAGAAGGTTGCGGAGGAGCGAGTGCAGTTTCTGCAGCCTTGGCGCCGCTGCTCCCCCGCTCGGCTCTCGGAACCAATGTTAAAGGTGCAGAGCTTCAAACCCAGCGTAAACAACAGACAACTGGGGATACAAGCGTTACAAAGGCTCTCCAGGACACTTTCAGCGTGTAAAAGCAGCTCAGAACAGGTCACATTCCACATTTCAATAGCAGTCAGTGCACTGAAGATTAAGGTCACATCCATTCCCATGCAGAGTTCAGGTACAGCCACTGACTGGACTATTAAAAATTATTTCCTACTGTTTGCCCAGACAGAACCACAACTATTCCACTCTTTGAAGCCAGGTTTTGAACTAGGAGTTCAGTTGATTTCAAATTGAACTTCCAGTGTGGATGTATACTTTTGTTTCTAAATAAATGCTTCTATGCTAATTTGAAATGATTCACTGCCCCTGAGACTTGACTCTTTAACAGGTGTAAGTTTGCATTCTCCACAATATAAACGTAGGACTTCTGTTTTTTGATGCAATAAGTAAGGTTGAAGATGAGCTATGTTCTCCATCAGAAAGTGGCTAAAATCTCCCTAGGAATTAAAGCATCTTCAACATTTTTACAAAGGTTAACTGAACAACTCTTTGGCTGTAGAATTACCTAAAGTAGCATGATTTTCTGTAGCTTCTGTTATTTGTATATTGGGTCCAGTGAAACAGCTGGGTTACTTGCTATTCCTACAATCCTGGTTTTTGTTAAAGTAAGAAAGTAATGTGCTTTTTATTTTTATTTCTTAACATCATTAGAATTGCTTTGTAGATTAAAACAGAGGCTGGAGATAATTCATATATAATCTTACTGATGACTTTCATAATACAGGAACCCTTTAGTCCTTTGTGTCAGGGCTATTGAACAGCAAGTGTGTTTTAAAGTGCTTTTTTCTGATAGCATTTCTGAGCTATTGTTTCCCCTCTCAGATGAAGTTTATAGTGTGCCTTAAAGCTCCAGCTAAAACAGTAAATGGTATCTGTGAATCTTCTCTTTGAAGCCTGCACATAAATGTCTACAAATCTGGCCTGTTTTCTTCTTGTTAAGGTATGAATGGAGGACAAGTCTGTTTTGCAGCCTGTGCAGGCCAAGAATTGATTTCTGGTTGCAATTATGCTAATTCTGATGAGAGCCTGCTCTGATTTGGATCTGTTTGTATTAGACATTGGGAAAGTGTTACTGTTTTCTGTTGTTCTAACTACAGCACAAAACACTGCTGGTCATCAAAGCTGCAGTGCAGTCCTCAAAGGTAACTTCAGGCATAAATACAGGGCATGGATAACCAATAAGAGGCTCTTGGTTCAATCTTCACTACTTAAACTGATGTAAATAGACCTTCTTTTTCAGTTTGATATAATTACCATGATATTCCAAGGAATGAGACTATGTTAACTTCCTATTTTGCATTTTTGCATTTTTTAAAAAACATCAAATGGAATTTATAAAATAGGGAGCTGAATATGTAACTTTAGAAAAAAAAATTCTCTAACAGATGACAGAATACTTGAGAATGCAAAGAATTCAGGTATTCCCTGTCTGTACAGCTGCCTTTAACATGTGATCAGTTCCATACATCTGCTACTTCTAATATTTTGCCCTAAGAGCTGTGCTGTGAATAACTATAATAATCCATCACTGAGGAACTTGCATTTCAGGTGCAAGCAAAAGCATCCTTGGAGTTAAGCACAGGTTCATCAGAGAGGAGATCTTGCACTCCTGGTTTATACAACTGGATGAAAGGTGCTACATCAGAGTGGGATTATTCAGACAGTGTATTGCTGACTTGTCCCATTTTTTGGAAATACATAATCTGTCAAAGAAGATCCATTGTATTCTCATGCACAACTTTTCCCATGTGTACCAAAGTGCAAGGTGGTTTGAATTTTCCTGGTGCTAGTACCTGTAAAATGTAATTTTATTAACACTGTAGCTAAGTTAACTTAGGCATTTTAAAATTGGTGCTAAATGAATCAAAAAATGTACTCCTTTTTGGTTAAAAGATTTAGTAAAAAAGAATTGGTTTGGAGTATTTCCTCCATAACATTTTTCACATGGACTTTCAAAGAAGCTCAGTGAAATCATAAATATGTAGCTGGTCATACAGCTTCATGCATTCAAGTGATGCTTACAGTATCAAACATATTTGTGTCATCTATATACCGGGTAATGGAATGCAGTGAGTCTTATCTTCCATATTGTTTGCTATAAAAATATGATAGGATAAAAATTCCAAGAGTACCTGATACGTGTGTGAAGTTGCTGTTGATTTACACAAGACTCTTTTAATCTAGCACAGGAAAGCTGAAAGAGTTAACCAAAAACGTTGCAAGTACAGTTATGGTAGTATAAAACTTAATATTATTGTTATTTCAATGCACTCCTATTTCAGTGACCTAATAAAAATAAATTAAAGCATAATCAGATATATGCTTCATGTTGCAGTAGATACGTTTTAGAATGTAAAGATTGTATAGTTTATAAGAGAGGTTAATAAAAAAAATAGGACAGAAAAACTGATTATAAAAATATTTTTTTTCCTGTCAGTATACTGTAGTTTTTTCTTTAAGTACAGTGGCTGTGGATTATGCTACATTTCATATCTCTCATCTCTGGACTTTATATTACTTTTTCAGCACATTAAAACTTATGCAGTGAAACTGAATAATGGCAAGTGTTTTTATACCCTTTTATAGCCATTTCTTTTTTCATAACCTCCCCCTGTTTCCTGTTAGCTAAACTATAAGCACCTTTCTGTTAATTTATGAAAATTATTGTTGAGATAGCACATTATCACTGATCTGTATGGCACTCGCAGCATGTTAGAAGCAAAGGTCCAAGCAACATAAAACACATCAAAATTCATTAATGTGGTATTGATTATTTTTTGGATAATTAATTTTATTGCAGGCCCTTGAAAGAGATAATGAGCTGCAAAGGGAGAAGGCAAAGGAAAATGAAGAAAAGTTCCTTAATCTTCAGAATGAGCATGAGAAGGCACTAAGAACTTGGAAAAATGAAGTAGGTTTATTCAATTAAATGCTATAGTATTGAAAGTTTTTTGGAATAGTTGAAAAGCATTTCAGGTCATTCCTAAAAGCCAAGAAAATATTGCAGAAATAATGAAATTAAAACAACTCATTTCTTCTCCAGTAATACAGACACTTCTAGAAATGAATATCTTTGAAAGGTAGATTTAGGTTAACTTCTGTGCTCTAAAATGTCTTCCTGCAGTTCTGATTTGAAAGGAATTCTTCAGTATGGACTGAACATGAAGGGGGATAAGAAAAGGTGTGTCTGGTATATCCCCCTGCTGAATTCACCTTTGTGGACACCTAAACAATAGTTTGTCTTCTATATTTGACATTCTTTCTATTACCTCATTACTTTTAAAGAATACTTCAGTAATTATTTAATCTAAAACAATTAGCAAAACATTGTAGCTGTAAAAATTGTCTGCGATAATAAATGCATGTTTAGATGTAGGAAAGATTAATACCACTTCAATAAGACAAGATCTGCTTAATGTGTGGAAACCAGACTCTAAGCAGCATTTGTTTAATAGTCTGTCTTTTTTATTTCTATGTGCTTGGCACCTACTGCCAGAAAGGTTTTGATTTTGGTAGACAGATTTCCAGGGAAACTGTGTGGGAAATAATGTGAAGTTGTCCTTGAAATCCTGTTGTCTAAGGTTCACTCCTTTGAGTGCAGTCACTGTGGGGATAACTGCAACCATGAGACCACAAAATCGCTGAACTTTCCTGATGCTCAGTTCCCTGAGAAGATTTGATCTCCTTGATTCCTTGGAGAATTTTATACCATAATTTCCTCTATTCACATGGGAATTTGCCCTGCTTATTTCTCAGGAACGTTTGCATCTATTCTTTAGAAGATAATTGTTATTTCTTTTCATATTTCTGTAATGACTAACTAGAAATTTTGTCTCCTAAAGTAAATCATCAAGAATAAAGTTAACACTGGTCTGGAAATCTTTCTAAATTAAGTGAAGGTGTTTCTGTGAAATTGCCCTTCAGTTCTTTTTACAAGTTATAGTTTGGACCATTCAGTTAGTTCTAAATACCAAAATTTAATTGTTGCATCTTTACTGAGGGAGCACTGGACACTTGAGGCTGTTTACAGAAGTAAAGTGCTAAGCAAATTATTTGCTGTTGTGGTTTCTCGACAATGTAGGTAGAGAATAAATATTGACTATTACATTTATCTTTGAGCCAAAGAGGAAGAAAGCTACAAATATAAATCTCACTTTTTTTGAGCATTGCTACTAGCAGTAAATGGTGAAAAAAAATTTCCCAAAGCAGTTAATAAAAGCTATAATCTGTAATGGAAATATGATAAAAATTTTGGTTTGAATGAAACAAAACTTTGTACAAAGAAATTCCTTAGCATACTTTCTTTTAAGGATGAAGTTTCATATGCTAAGCTGTTGATACCTTTGAAAAATGCTGGTTTACCCATTTGAACATGCAGTAAAGTGTTTGTGTGCTCTGTATACTTGCAATTATTACAGGAGGAAAACATGAGAAGAGAAATACAAACTATTAAAAATGAGCTGAATTCCCTTAAAGGACTTCATAGACCTCTTGAAGATTATCATCCTCCCCAGGGAAATCAGCATTCTGAGCAAGTGGAGAATCTGCAGGTAAATGTCTTTACTAGCTGCAGTGTGTCTTGTAAAAATGCCAGAGAACTCCAAATATGACAATTTTTCTAATGTTGTCTGTCATGTCCACTGATCCTCCTTTGACATGGCTAAACCTAACAATTTATGTGACAATGACCCTAAATATCATTGAAACTTACTGTACCTACAGAATGTTCTGCTTTTATCAAGAGGGGTGCTTGTGTCATAGAAACCTGAGACAGTACTTCATTAATAAATTTTTACCTGACAGCAGTTACCAACCTATCTTGACTAAATCCTGTTTCACAGACATATTTTCCATGGCTATTTTTCAAATACTGGGGCAGATCCAATTGACTTCATGTGTATATAAGTTCCCTGGAGGTGTGAAAGTAGGTCCACTTCTACTCAGAGGAACTAATTTTAGCTTCTCTGAAATCTGTAACATGGGACAGATCAGAAGGTTGTTTTTAGCAATACACAGGTTATCTAAGTTCTTCAGTTTTAGTTTAAGAAACACCAACTTTTATGTCACATAGTGTCTTTGAGAGTCATTAAAGGCACAGCGAGCTCATCAGGCAGCAAATGCAGGAGGTAAAAACTTTTATGCAGTGCAGGCTGAACTAGAATTGACCTTGGATTGTTGGCTGAACCAAATCCATGTTCAGCTCTAGGTGCAGGGCACATATGGGAAGTCAACAAGTGGTTAAGCACACAAAGATGGGCTTTTGGAAGAAAAGGAAGAACACATAGCCCTGCAGCTCTGTGTTATTCCATGATGAAACTGGATTGCAAATTTGTATTGCAGTCTTCTATAAGATTGAAAAAACTGAGCAGAGTCAGAAGCCATAAGAAACCTTCTCTGTGCATTGAGTGTGTCTGTTGAGTATTGGTTATACCCATTTTCCATTAACTTTTACAAACAACTAATGATCTGTCCTTCCAAGAACAGAAAACTCATTTTTCATGTGTACAAACTTGTTTTTTGTGTTAAGAAAACAGGAAGACACTAGGGTTGTAAAGACAGGTAACTATTTTAGAACTAGTCCATGAATTGTCAATAAAATGACAAACAGTAAAAATATTTTAGGATTTGGAAGAACTTAAAATCAATTTCTTCACAATGCTCATACATATGTATGTTTGTAGTTCACACACATACATGGCTGTGGTATGGGCTTAATAATGAAAATGAAATTAGACTTGAAATGATTACTCATTGTCCCAAAGCTGAACTCTGCAAGGAATAATGCAAATTGTGTATATTTTAAGAGTCACTGTTTCCTTGAATGGAAATGGAATATTGATTTTGTTTAGGAGGCAAAGTGATCAGGCATTCATGATTAACACTACTGGTGCTTGCTAAGATAATCCCATGGGTCTGAAAGCAGGAAAGCTTAAAGTATATGCTCATAAATGCAAAAGAAGTCAGATGTCTTCCAAATATACATCTTACACTCTTTTATGGCAAATTGCCACATCACTCTGTGTTGTACAGTCATTAGCTTTCCAAAGCCAGGCAGGTTGGACTGAGTGGAACACTGCCAGGAAACTGAAGCTGCAGCAGATCATATTGGTTATTCTGATTTGTGGAATTTCACCTTGTATCACTAATGAGTCAGCATCTAGTGACACATAAAAGGGAAAGGTGTTGGCTTGGATTTAGATCTTGACTGTGGTTCCAAGTGTTCTAAGGAAATATGCCTAGACTTATTTTTACATCTAGTGCAATCTGAAATCCCTGTAGTTATTTGTGAGGCATGAAATTCAGAATGTACTTAAACTTCTTCACACTGATCACCTCTGGAATAGTAATTAAACAAAAGACATTTTTAAAAGAAAGGTACAATGTCAGCCCTCATTACAGACTTGGATTGCAATTTAGTTGAACCTTACCATGTTTCACATTTAGTTTGATATAATCTGTAATTCAGCTGTGTACCAGTAGAGAATAGGGTTACATCCAGCAATGGCTTGCTGTAATTCTCTTGGGCATGTAAGTGCAGGGAGATCTGGTTTTCAGAAGGGTTTGAATTTCATACTGTGAAACAGTCTGTTGAGGGAAAGGATATTTAGGGATATATGTGTTTCTTAGTTAGGTTTTACTAAATCACAGGCAAAAAATTAAAATCCAAGTTTAAAAGTTTTGTTATTTAGGTATTTTAGTTTATCAATCTTGGCCCTATTTTTTAAGGGCTGAAGACCCATTTGAATTTATTGAAAGGTAGGTTTCTTCAACCCATCTGAAAACCTGAAAAGGAATCGTGAAACCTTTCTGCCTTTCTATGAACACTTTGTCCTGTTTGTTTCAGATGCAGTCACCAGCTCAGCCCATACCAACAAATGTAGTAAGTTCCACTAAGACTGTTTTCTTACTGTACAAAAGAGTAATGTACACAGTTACAGAGTGTGCTTGGTGTTTCTGTCTGAAAAGAAGAGCTCCTAGAAACAAAAGATTGTAAGACAATTAGAGCTTTCATGAAAGAAAAAGGAAATTTTTATTTTTTATATTCAAAAAGCTTGAAAATGTGGTGCCAGGGCTATATAGAGCAAAGAAGTAAAATTAATTAAAAGCCTAGAAAAGAAAAAGATGCAATATATATAATTTTCCAATAAGAGTGACAGGGAAAATAATGATAAAACATAATGAAAAGAGAAAGAAATTTCCACTGAAACGTCAAATCGAGGGTGGAGTATTTGGCAGAGGAAGATGATTTTAGGACCCTCCTCTGTTTACCAGACTCCTCCCTCCCCCAAATCAGCAAAGCTGGGAGTGTCAGGATGTTTCTGTGACCTGTAGGGAACCGTTTGTGGCAGATTTGTGTTCTACATCCCCTACTCTGCCAGCCCTGCAGCAGCCCCATTTTTTAGCAGTGCTGTCTCCGTGCCTCCCTCCACTCTGCAATATTCTCTGTCCTCCCCACATACCCAGTGCCCAAGCACAGCTCTTGTAACTCCCTCCCACATCGCAGCCTTCCTTCTGCAGCACCTCCAGTCTCCCAAGTACCTTCAGCTTTTTCCCACATCTTTTATGGACTGAGCTCCCTCCCACATCTGCCTACTTTTATATCCTATCTTTAGGGCAAGAGCCAGCACGTGCTTCTGTCTTCAGCTGCCAAACAGTTGATGATGATAAAGGATGCATTTCCTTTTCCTTTTATTTTGGTGGGATTTTATTATCTTCACTATTCAGGCCCTTGTTTCCACAGAACTTCATTGACTGCAGCTCTCAAAAGTGAACACAAATACAGATGCAGTGATTTAGACTTTAAGTAGATAAATCTTTCAGGCCTCTATTCTTGCTGAATTTGACTCAAATTCATGTTAAAAAGCTGTTTGGGAGGGACTGAGGAACTGCATATCAGGGATTGCAAATTCAGAAGCCTTATTTGCCTGTGAAATGAAGTTAAAAATCCTGGGCAGTTTGCTAGAAAAAAAGTTGTTTATATGTGCATGTGTTGTTTGTGTATGTGTTTGGGTGTAAACAGGAATCATGCAGGATTTTTGCACATGGAATTACTGAGCAGTTCACTGAGTGGGCCAGCAGAGAGAGGGAGTGATCCAGTCACCACATGTACAACACAAATTCCTTACACTGAGGAATTCTGTCAAATGTGTAACTCTGTGGACTGTAATATAGCAGGACCTGATTTCTTGCCTACTCTTCTAGGACACTAGTCTGCTTTTTTCTTTTCCTCTGTTTACATTTACTTTTTATACTTCAGATCTTTGTTTTCCATCAGAATTGTAAAATTAATTTTAAATCTCAGTCCTGAACTTTCTACCTAATCAATGACTATAGTAAATTACTAAAATACTTATAATCTTTTGTTCCCTCTTATGCTAGAGTGGTCAAGTACACTCAAAAGACAGTGAAATACAGGCTATTCACAAAGAAAATGAGTTTATGCAGTCTGTAATAAGTAAATATGGTAATTGTGGAAATGAAGAAGAAATTGAAGTAAGAAACACAAGGGACAAGCCTTCAAGCATTGAGGAATTAAAGACAGAGCAAAGTAATAACCTTCTATGGATAATAGAGATAAGTAGTACTGTTAAGAAAGGATAAATGTTTTCAGATATAGTATTTGAGAAGAGAGGGCTTAAATCCTGAATTAGATGAATTTATCTACAGAACGTTAATATATTCTCTGCTTTCTCAGTTTATAAATATTTTACAAGTTTCAGTAACTTTTTTACAGGCTTGTGTCTGTAATATAAGATATCAGTATTGATACCAATCCTGAGTCTATCTCTTTGGAAATTCTAAACTGTAAAAATAAAGCGTTACATAATCTCTGAGTTATCAGTCACTAATTAGAGATTACTCACTCTACAGATTCACGAGTTCTTGAGAACAGTTTTAAGGATGAAATTAATGTTGCTAGCCCTTGTGAATTAAAGCAAAGGGAGGCTTCTCCCAGGAACACCCTCTGCACAGATACTGATTTAATTACCCAAGGACACACCTCGGAAATGCATGCCACTGGATGCAGAGAGGCAGAAGATGCAGGAACAGCACACAGAACCTTACCAGGTGAAAACAATGCAAATTTAGATCAAAAGCCACGGGACAGCACTGAGCCTTTGGCAGCACACCACACACAAACAAGGAAGGGCTTTTTAGGCAGTGCTGAGAAGAAAAATGTAGGTGCTGAGAGGAAAAATGGGAGTCAGGAGACCAACACTAGCAAGGAAGAATTGTGCAATACTGCAGATGAATCAACTTGTGCCAAGGCAGACACCACACAGCACAACAGAAGTGTCCTCACACCTGAAGCACCCAAACCCGAGTCTGAAGCTGTTGTTTGCTCTGAGAAGAGTGCTCTGCATGAGGGAAGTGCAGACACCCACCAAGCCAAGGAGTTCAGTTTTGGCATCCTACCTTCTACTAAAGAGAATTCTCAGGCAGAATACCAAAAATGTAGCTTGCTAAATAGTGACAATTCTGTAGGCAGTGGATTACATAAAACAGAAAAAACCCTAAATCTGAGTGGTTTACATAGAGATAAACTTCCTCTGGAACAGACACACGTCAGGGCTGAAGGCAGAAATGATGACAATGCCAGAAACATGAACACTGCTGTTCTGGCAACTGATGCTCAACATCCACCTACAACTGTTTGTTGTGACCATGCAACTGGTGATGATGCTGCTGCAAAAGAATGCAGAGAAAATAAGTCTCTCTTAGGTACTTTTAATTTATGTCCCCCAAAAACTGAGAGAGGAATAAATGCAGATGATATGCACACCAAGCAACCTGAACAAGACAGTGCTAAACAAACAGGGAATGCTACAAATACATGGACTTCAACTGCTGAAGGCAAATCTCCAGTAAAGGCTGATGGTCTCAAAATTGCTCACAAAACCCCCCCAACAGATAGGGCATATACAGATAAACTAATTCCATGTAAAAATGTTAACAATGATATTCAGATACACTCTGGACATTCCCTGGAGATTGATACTTCAACAAATAACACATTGTTACAAGAGAAGAAAGACTCACTGAGTAGTACAGTGCCAGGAACAAAGTCTGCTGAGGATCACCTGAGAGAATCATGCTCTTTACCCATGAGAACATCTGGAAATTTAGTAAACATAAGTTTAAGGTCATCCTTTGATCTTTCAACCTCAGATAAAAAAGCTGAGAAAACTCCACTATACTTGAATTTTTTAGCTCTCAGTTCTTGTTCAAGAGTAAATCAAATGAGAGGTCAAGCTACATGGACTTCAGCTTGCAAGGAGCCTTCCCTTTTGAAAGACAAACCACCATGCTTAGTGGAAAACACAAACGTTATTTCAAATGCACAGAGTCAAAATCTCAGTGAAAGTGTGGACAGTGGAAAAGCAGGACAAGGTAAGAAAATATAAGCATAAATGTTTTGAACCATGTAGTGCTTAGAAAAATTATCAGAAAGTGAAATTTCTGTATCTAAGCTTAGTGTAGAAAAACATAAACCCGACATTTTAGGTATGTCACAAAAAGGTGAGATTGCTCTGTTTATATTATAATGCATCTAAACAGCTTTTGTTAGAGTCAGTTAATCTATTAATCTAAACTAATTAATCAATTTGTTGATTAATTTTTTTCCTCATATTTCCCTTTGTGAAATAACAGCAGTGCAATGAAAACTGAATTTTGACAGGGATTTCTAACCCTAATGTAGAGCATATTCTATCAGGGCTCTGCATGGATCTGAAAAGCACTGAGCAGCTTTTGTGTATTATTCAGTGTTTTCACTACATCAAAATTAGGGTAGATTTTGAACCACTAGATGCTTCTTTGAATGGGTCTTACAGAACTTTTTATTTTATTGTACTTTTCTAATTTAGAAGGACCATTAAAACCATCTGAATGTGTTGTGTGTAAATTGAGACTTTATATTCTGTCAGGCTCTGGAAAATATGGAGCTTTAAGTGCTCAAGGAGCTTTTTAGTCTTCTACTATTGACACTTGGTTATTATTTGTTGAGCAATATTTTGCACATACAAAATAGTAAATATGAACTTTATTCCATGGGTTTCTAAATCATTACTGAAACGTGGAAGATTTGTATTTTAAATTTGTTTTGCAATAAATTGAGCTGGTAGATTACACCAAAACTGGAGCCCTGTGTGCTTAGATGTTTTCCAAAGAGCAGGATCCACAGGACAGGTTGTTTGTGTCTGTAGAGTTTTTGTTGGTGCAGTGTTTTCACCTTTGGCCTTTGAACAAACCAAGAGCAGAGTGGACTCCCATCCTTAGGTTTGCAGCCAGTGGCAGACAGAAACCCAGCAGACTGGTTTCTGTACATTGTTCTGTTGTTATGAATTTAGCTCTCTAGGTAATTTTGTTTCTGTCCTTGGTCTCCTGCCCATGGATATTCGTGTTCAGATGCACATTTTTTGAAGTTCAGTTTCAGAAATGTCTTTGTCCCCACAAACAGTAGTAGTGGTAGCAAGGTAGCAGAATCCTGATCTCAGATGGCACGTTATTTCTTTTAATAATGTGAATTTTGGTATCTGTTTCAATGAAATGAATGCCTAGTTACATTATGTTCTGCATGTATCTTTTCTGTAAGAACAGACAGCACTATCTGAATTTCTTCCAGTGAGTTTCCCCTCCTCTTCTTGTCAGAAACCTTTCTGTATGCAAAGTACTGCAACTCCAGGTGACTCTGAGGGACTGATCCAAAGGAATGGGCAGGGAACTAACTCCAGTCCCTCAGCCGAGTTGCTTATTGACCAGACCTCTTCAATTCCAGCAAACCTTCATGCTGAGAGTCTGGGTCTGTGTCCTAGATGTGCCTCATGCTGCCAAACTGAGATAGGTCCCTCCTTGAGCCTGCTGCCCTCTTGGAATGCTGCACCTCGCAGGGAGAGTGGAGAACCCCCCTGGGAGGGTTCCACAGTCACTGTGGTACACAGCACTGCAGCTCCCAGCGTTCACTGTGCTGGCGTTTGTGTTCTTTTGTTTCCAGATCGTTTCCCAAATGGCAAACCTGCAGTGGAATCCATGTGGACACTGGACCTACATTTTAATTTTTTTTTTTTTTTTTGACTGACTGGAACACAAACCTTTTAGCCATATGGGAGATCTAGAAGTGAAGAGAATTGGTGAAAGAGTTTAGTAAACCTATCTGAGGGAATTCCTTCTACTGCCTCACTACAATGCAATTTACTATTTATATACTCTGGTTCCCAGAGAGCAGACACTTCACATCAGTAAATGAAAGAATGAAGTGGGAATGTGAAAGATCTTCCTGGCAGATGCTTTAAAAAGAAAACAAACACATAATCATTTTCCTCTTCCTCCCAAGAGAAAATGTCTGAAATATTCTGAAATTCAGTATTCTGAAATAACTGTTACAGAACCATGAGGTAACATGTATTTTCATAGCAAAACAAGGTTTTACTGTCGATGCAGTGATCCACAGGCATCTGTGTAGTGACAAAACAGCTCCTGTTTGCATTGTGAAGAATTCTGACAGCATCCTTGGATTTTCACCTTGCAAGGAGTTTGATATTGGTTTCAACAGAATCTACTGGTGCTGCATAAAACCTCTGCAGGACTGGAGGCTTATACTTGGCTGTGATTTATCTCCTCACCTGCCTTTCCTACCTTTAATAGATTGCTACTGCCTGACCACCTGAAACATGAGATACAGCCAGTAACACAAAAACTCCTTTTTAAAAATGCTTTTTGTTTGTCTGAAAAGCTTTGTATTCATGTCTTCTTTTATTACAAGTCACCTTGGAATATCATGTCATAATGGCATTAATTATGCATTTTATTATCGTTTTCAGACGGTGAGTTTAAAGTAATAGTGTTTGAAAAAATATTCAGTTCGAGTATTTAGAATCCATACACTTTCTATAAATCACTTTTCTGTCATTAACTTAATACGTGGAAATGAGAGAAAACGTTTTTAATCTAAGTAGAAACATACCTCATCTTTAGAGAAAAAAGAGATGAAGCATGTGAAAGAAAAAAAATGGAGGGCAAAAGCCTACAACAAAGATCCAGGGGTTTAAAACAAAAATATTTGATTTTTTAAGATCAGAGGTAAACCAGTTTAGTTATTCACAATTAGTGCCTGGAGACTAAATTGCAGTTGTTACCATTTCCTTTTTGTCAATCAGGTTCTAGCAGTTTGAACAGAGCTGCCAACACTTTGAATACCTCTAGTATCCACCGAGAGCCCCAGGGAGAGCCTAGTGAAGGATGGAATGCTACAGCAAAGGCTTTTTATGATTCTTCTTTTCCCACAGAACATGTAAGTCAATTAAAAATATTGCAGACCAGACCTCAGTGAGCTAATTCCACAGATATTTGTACAACTGTACCCATCTGGATACTTTAAGGCTGAGTCAATCTCCAAAATAATATCAAAAGGGCAACAAGACACCATTTTTCACAATTAAGGTTGATAGAAAGCAGCAGGAAAAAGTCACAGCATATGAATCAAACAGATGCTAACCAGTCTGTTTGGGAGGGGAGAAAGAGGCTAGTCCATTAGGTGCCCTAATAAAAATCATCACCTACAGTAAAAGTAGAAGTTTAAGAAAAAAAAAGGAAAATAGTAGTGTGTAAAAGTATAAAAACATTGTTTCCTCTATTACTTGATAGGACCATGTCATTTAAAAGAATCCATGAAATAATAAAAATTCAGCACATCTATGAATTAGAGCTTATCCATTTATCAGACACTGCAGTTATGTTAATCTTATTATTTTGTAGGGTAACATTACACAGACATGTGAAAACCTGTTGTTTCCCAGTGGCTCATCACTGCATTTTCAGATCTCTGTTAGACTCTGGAGCTTAAACAACTCTAACTGCTCTGTTAGAATTTGACCCAATGTTGACTGTATCATTCAAAGTGATACAGTAATTTACAGCTGCAGTTGACTTTTCCTTTTCAGAAGTTTCTAGAGGTATTTCTCAGGTGGTTAGGGCTGTCTCTGGATGAGGTGTACAGTGGTTTCAAGTGACAAACTTGGCTGACTTCAGCAGATAATCAGGTCTCGATGCCATCAGCATCCATATTCCCTGAAATTCACACGGCTGATGTTTTAAACTGCTCGGCTTTCCCAGCCTGGCTCTCCTTGTGAATGGCACTGAGGTGGATTTTCAGCAAACACAGTGGTGGTGTTTTCTGTACATCTCTTGCTTTTTCTCAGAGGTGGAGCCAGGAGCTGAGTGAACTCCACTATGTAACCTGGAGCTGAAGCAAAGCTGTATTTCATTATCTGGTTGTGGTTATGTCTGCTTTGGTATCTCCAAACTAAAGCTCCTGCTGTGCTAGCTAAGTAAAAGCAGAGGTGGACAAGAACAGTGCCTTGCTGGTTTCACCTTAGATTTTCCAAATCCTTGATCTACAAAATCTCAGCCTGCAATAATGCAGAGCCCTCCCTCCTTTCTGTGTTGGTGTCATGCTAATACCTTCTGTTCCCAACTCTGTCATTTTAATGACCAATATAAACAAGCTGTTGGGAGATTAAAAATGGGCCCGAGGGTATTTTTTGCTGCTTCGTTTGCTTTGACTAACACGTCTGGCTGCAACTAGAGCAGACTTAAGCCTTCTACAGTTTGGGTTATCTCATTCAAGCACAGTACAGTACTCTAAAAAGGGATAAAAATGATAAACAAATGCTACAGGTGCACTTAAAATTCTAGTAAAAATATTAAGAACGTTTTTAAACATTAGTCTTGCTTAGGCACCACAGTAAGAATGAATAAGCACCCCCAGCTCAGTTTAAACATGCAATTTTCAGTACAGGACAGGTTCAGCCCCACATGCTATTCCATATTCTCACCAGTGGCTTGTAGTGAATTACAATCTGTTTGTTGCTGGGCCTTGGGAAAAAGCACAAGAGAATTAACAGGTTGAAACTTTCACTGCTCAAATGGAGAAGTTACTTTGTCACTGAAAGGGAGATGCCAGTCATTACTGACCTGAAGTATCAGTACCTTCAGCTGCATGGCAGCAACATTGTTACAAATGCAATAATGAACAATTTGCATAAATTTTATTGTTCATATGTCAACCTTTAAGAAATGCTTGTACACTAGGGAAAGTAAGCTTTAGCACAAAATTAATGTGTTAAAATAAAGGTAGGTCTGATAAAGACACAGTGCCTTAGAGTTTGCTGGGGCACAGTTGCTCAATATTAAAATGATTGTTCAATATTAAAATGATTGAGCAGAGGGGGAAGGTCTCATCTTGTGATCCTCTCAGAGGAGCCCTTAGCACAGGAGCAGTGTGAGGTCACCTTGCAGATCCCCTGCAGCACGGGCTCTGTGCTGCACCTTGCTCAGGCAGGTGGCTGGTGCTGCCTGCTGCTCCCCCAGAGCCACACAATCCCACATTACAAGTGGAGAACTCATCAGTCAAATGCAAGGTTTTTGCTCATCAGGCAAAAAACCTGTTTCCCTACTGTGTTACCATCTGTCTTTGATTTGGATACATACGAAGTAGCTAACAGTAATATATCACAGAGTAATTAAAACTATTAAAAGAGCAAAAAGATCCTTAACATAAAGAAGCCAACTTTGCATTATTGATGTTTGCTTTCTAATCTATAAAGTGAAATGGAGAGGGAATTAACACTATAAACCTCATCATTTTGGGTTTTGTTAATCAAATGCTTGCATAGCAACAGAAATGTTAATTGTAAAATTAAATTCTTTAATTAAGCTATTTATTTTGCTAATCTGCATTCTAATACGAGCTTGTATTTTTAAAATCACACTCTTGTATCAAATCTTATGAAAAGGTTTGGTTTATAAAAGTGTAATTGTCATTATCAAGTTTTCTAAATTAAATACAATGCAAACACTTCAAATTGATTTATTTTCCTGTTAACATTTCCTTGCTTGCATAATGTTCAGCAAAACCCAACAATCTGAACCTTTGTGTGTGAATTTCACTGGGTTATCAACTGCTAACATTTGTATTCTGTGAGGTTAAAGAAGGATTTGCTGCCTTCCAGAACAAACAGAAGTCTCACATGAGTGTCACTCCAGCAAGTGAAAAAGCACTCAAAGATGAGGACAGCTGCTCTCTTAGGAACTCCATCATACAAAACCAAACAGGAGGAATTGAGAAATTATTGAATTTGGAGAGACTTCATTCAGCAAGAAAGAGAAAATACGAAGAAGGCCAGTGAAGATGAGTGCCAGGAGAAAAGGATTCTTTTAGGAACAGAGAGATCTCTTACCTAACCCAGATTTGTAGAGGTATTCCTACAGAATATGGTACATATGTGTAGTTTCATGTTTAATATAACATGTTAACAGTTCTTAATGTTCAAAAATGTATACAATTCCTGCTCCTCATGTTAGTTCTGGTTCTGCAATCAAATTCAAGTTATTATGGGCTTTGCCCAAAGTTAAAAAGTTCATAAGTTAATGTTCTTATACATGTTTAGCAAAATTAAATGATTACTTAACTATACCCTTCTCCTGCTCCTCAGTTTTGGCTGAAATAGTTCATTTTCTCTGACAGACTGCTCACTCAGTTTTCTGGCAAAATCACCTTCAGCTGTTTCAGAATACAATGGGTTCTGCAAACATTTACAACTGCTTCCAGCAGTTCTGAGTGGTAGAAGAACAGAAAAATCTTCTGCATACCTCTACTGCCAAATTATTTAAATATATCTTTTGTAGTTTCTGTGTCAGTGAGGTCTCTTTCTACGCTGAAGGATCAGGTATGATTACACAGATAAAGCAGCAGATCTGGCTTCATGAACCTTCACTTCTGTTGGGTCACATTTCTCTTGGGTCTAAGGGAAATTTTCTCTTACTTTAAAAATACCTGCACTATTATCTTTGTGACCTCCCTCCCTTCCTCCCCACACCTCTTGCAAAGAAAGGTCCCATACTGTAAAATAAACAAAAGAAGCATAACCAACATTGCCAGTTTCTTGTTGCTGATTATGTAAGAAAATCACCAGAAGACATTTTCCCATGTTAGTTTTATTGCCTTTTTTTTTTTTTTTTGGTGTGTGTGGCAATTTAGAGTATTTAGCTTCTTTAAACCAATTGCATACATTTTTTGGGAAACATTCACAAATTGTCAAAGTTTTGAATAAAATTCATATATAGCAATATTACTAGGTCAAAAAAAAATTCTTAGGTGTCTGAGAGACTGAGGAGACTGTTTTTCACTTGATTCAAATTTTGTTTCCAGGTGTTTAGAGTGTCATACAATTGCTGCCACTGCTGCTTTCCAAAAGTCCGATGTGTGCTGTGACTGGAGAAGTAAAACAAAATTGGGAGATTATTAGAGATTGTCACACTCACCTAATCATTCTTCTACAGCATTACTTTACTGTCATGAGCAAATAGGAAAATTCTGATTTTCTCCCTAGAAAGGGCTGCACTTCACCAGTTAAAGAGAATTCTGTAGTGTTCCCAAATATTTAAAGCAACAACAGTCATTAGTATTCTTGTCACTAGCAGGTCATTAAATGAAATGTCCTGGAAAGTAGGACTCTTTCATTAAATAAGCTAATCACATTCAGTGTGAGCTTTAATAAAATTATGATAAATAGCAACTATTTAACTACCAGCAACTGATAGGAACAATACCTTGCTTCCAGTTAGAATATTCTACAAATGTAAGTGAAATAATTAGAACACACGAAGTTCTTCAAAATGCCATGAAGAATTGTCTTACCTGACAACGACTTTCCTCTGTGTCTGATCTATTTTACAGTACACCATCTTTGTCTTTACAGCTGCAAAAAAACAATGCTGTTTTGAGCAAAATTTTCATGATAATGCAAAGATATTAAACTGCACAAAAATGGTTCAAAAGGAGATCAATACAAACACAAGAACACAGCATTTCACTTCATCTGTTTTGCTGTTGGTTTTAATGGCCTAGTAGGCAGAAAAACAAAATGATGTAACAAGATGAAGGTCATGCATGAATCCTATTGTTTGGTGCCAATCTATTAAAGCAATATCCTGTACAGATTTTATGAACTTCTCTCCCCTACAAACACATCCTGTTTTAATGACAGCAAACAAAACCAGATGACAAATTCAACCTACAAACAATTTATTAGTTCTGTAAAGAACTACATAAGATACAGTTCCTGTCACTGGGAGGAAAAACACTGGTTAAAACACAACAGTTGGGCCTGTCTTTAAACATGAAGTTGTGCAGCTTTACCTTGTAAAAAGCACAGGAATTAATATTGTTCTTGATATTCAACATTAGCTTAGAAGATTTTAAAGGTCTTGTTGAAGAGCACCGTGTGCAGAAGCACAGTTCTTACCATCAATGACAAATGCCTCTACATCATCAGCCCCGATCTGGAGTTCCTGCTGCATTGTATCAAATGAGATTTCTTTATTCTCTACAGCCATTCCCATGAAAGTAAGGAGCCTCATCTTGGCCATATTGTGTTCATGCAACAAGCCTGAGGAAAAGTGGTGATAGTTTAATTAATGATTTAATTATAATTCATACAAATAATTTGCTTTTTGTGTTATTTTTGCTATATATGCTTCCAATAATTTAAAATTTATTTCACAATGCAATATATTCTACTTTTCCCTACCAACAGTTCTTTTGAGGTAAAATATCAAATCCTACATCTGCCTTGTCTTTTGCTAAATTAGCAAGTTTCATTGTGAATTCATCAAGACTCAGTTGTTTTTTAGCAAAAAAAGTTTTATCTACAAAAGTTAAAAACCTAAACAGAATTTGAGGTGGTGAGAGTGCAAGTGAATTTTTCAGTTGCATCACCTGGAAGAACAGCAATGCAAAAAAGTAGAAAATCCACAGCTGGTTATGCCAAAAACCTTCTTACAGCCTCACTACTCATTCTCCTGTAGTTTCTGGAAAAGAAACCTCTCACAGAGATGGTTCCAGAACATAACATTGTGGTGCCAAAAGAAAGCATTTTGCTGCTCAATTTGTTTGTCCACAGCAAAAAAGGCATCATGAGGCCCATGTAAGCATCCAGTGTGGCTCAGAAAAGTGCAGTTCAAAACCAGCAGAACAGATACTGAGGTCAAGTTACATCTTTTACATGATTGCATAAATGCCAACACAAGGAACTGAGCCAAGGCCTTGCATGTCTAAATCAGAGACCATTTTCCTGGAAAAACATCCAGGTCAACCAAGTTAAGTCACTGAGATGAAACAAGGCATTTCTTAATCCCAAGGTCCATGAGGTACCAACCAAGATCCAGTGGAAGCTTCTTAAAAATGAGTGTCAATCTTTTTGTTGTAGAATGACATTATAAACATTCCCATAGCTTCAGTAAATATGTAAGTTAGGAATTTATAACACCCATACACTAGCAGGGAAGCACATTAGTGCAGGACATCATGTTGTGTTAATTAGCTGTAATTATGATGCAGGTTTCCTATTTGGCACCGATTCAACAAAAAAGCGATCGCCATAATTCATAGGAATGAGGAGCACCAGCAACTATACCTAACTGGGTTTAATGGAACTCTACAAGCATCAAAAAATCAATTAGCACACATTAACCCTAATTAACAAATGCAAATGAGATGCTGATTAACTTTGCGAAGAAGACTGCAGATAATTCCAGATTAACTGTGGCCATGTTAGGGCGATGCAGTTGACACAGATAATGCTACTGCTGGCCTAAGTTGTCAGCATTAATAAAAAACAAATTGTAACAAACTGATGCTGACTGTAGGATGCTGCACAGCCTTCCTGGGCCAGTTCTAACTGGTCCTGGTCCAGGAAAGGTTACAACTACAGCCCATGCTTTACTGCCACTGGAATCCTATTCTAAGCAGCCTTTAAAACAAAGGTATTTGGACAAGTTATTTAAAAAAAAATTCTAAAGCATGGTTAAAAATCTCATTGCTTTTGGGAACAGATCATTTTTGAATGCCTCATCTAATAACTGCACTGTTATCTCGACCAAACTGCCCTTTGTTTTTCAAAGCCATGGCTAAGTCATTCAGTTCCCAGCATTTCCATCTGTGCTGCCTCCAAATCTCTGCTTGTCCATTGCTGAAAGACAAAGAGTTTCTGAGCACACCATAGAAAATCAGCATAAGTGGAAGTTAAGACTGTCTTTCCAAACAGTTACAAAGGTATTTAAGGATTTTACTAAGATTATATAAATCTTAGATACATTGAGAGTTCACACACTGAATTAATTCATGGAAGGAAGCACAGAAGGCAAGGCAAAAGAAACCACAACAACTGGATATAATACAATTAATGCTATATAGATGTGTAATTGATCTTCCATAAATTTATTCAAATGTTGGTGTAATAGCAATTTCAGCAAATACTTCTGTGGACAAGTACCTAAAAGACAAGCCCCAAACCCACTTTCCCCTGAGAAAGAAAAGCATAAGATGTCTGCATAACTAATGTTCAGATACATATGACAAAAGAGACACTTAACCTATAGACACATTTACAAGCTGCCAAAAACTTGCTCCTAATTTTATCCACCAAAAAATACCATTGGTATTTCCATCATTTTAGCACCCAAAGTACCACCATTTTAAAGCTCTGATGGTAATTATTCTAAGAATTGTATCACACTCCATTAAACAAAATAATGCATGTGTTAAAAAGCTGCACTAAACTCTGTTTTAGCGAACTAGCTTTCCTCAAATGCAACCAAGGCAGTGTTTAAGTGTCATTTGAAAATCAAAGTTATAAAAAAAAAATATATTGTATTTTTATGGAAACATTTATTCATTACCAATATGTCAAAACCTTAATGCAGTAATAAAAAAATCTGCATCATTGAGCAATTTCTGCATTGTCACTGACCCCTGTCCTAAAAAGCTGGAATATAAAAAACGTAATTTTAATGCATGCAATAGCTTATGAACCAGTGCTCCTTTGAAACAGTCAATTACACATCAACGGGGGAGTGTCAAAGTGTTAATTACTACTCCTTTTTTCCACAGTGTGTAAATAAAGAGGGTGCTGACATTAACATTCCATCACATTGCTTCATGTGATGAAACAAATTAACTGGGACAGACTGTGGCTTGCTGGGTCTAATGCATCAGCACACACACACACACAATCTGCATGCTTTACCATACAGTGCAGAAGTATTTGCTGTTACAAAGTTATTCATCATTAAAAAAAACCAGATTTATACAAGCTGGTGGTTTCCTCAATGCAGTTGTGATTTCTGGCCTAGCCTGGAGTATGAATGTGTTAAACCTTTCAGGAGGGGAGTTCTAAGAGAAAAAAACACTGGGTAAAACCACAGTTCTCTTCCAAAGCCATAAACCAGCTTGTTTTCAAAGAACAAACCACAGTTAGACAGCCCACTCACCATGTACAAGAGGTTATAATCTACAAACTCTAAACTGTTATGAAATTCCCTTGCTTCAATACATGGAT